GTGGCTCACACCTGTAATCCCAATACTTTGGGAGGCCGAGGCGGGCAGATTGCCTGAGGTCACGAGTTCCAGACCAGCCTGGCCAACATGATGAAACCCCTTCTCTACTAAAAATACAAAAATTAGCCAGGCGCGGTGGCGGGCGCCTGTAATCCCAGCTACTTGGGAGGCTGAGACAGGAGAATCGCATGAACCCAGGAGGAGGAGGTTGCACTGAGCCAAGATCACACCACTGCACTCCAGCCTGGGCAAAAAGAATGAAACTCCATCTCAAAAAAAAGAAAGGGGCCGGGCGCGGTGGCTCACGCCTGTAATCCCAGCACTTTGGGAGGCTGAGACGGGCGGATCACAAGGTCAGGAGATTGAGACCATCCTGGCTAACATGGTGAAACCCCGTCTCTACTAAAAATACAAAAATTAGCCAGGCGCGGTGGCGGGCGCCTGTAATCCCAGCTACTTGGGAGGCTGAGACAGGAGAATCGCATGAACCCAGGAGGAGGAGGTTGCACTGAGCCAAGATCACACCACTGCGCCACTCCAGCCTGGGCAATAGAGTGAGACTCCATCTCCAAAAAAGAAAAAAAAAAGACTTAGTGGCATTTTCTCTGAGCCTTGAAGAATGAGTAGAATTTCAGCAAGTTGAGGTGGAGGTGAGGGAGGGCACTGGACGCAGAGAGAACAGCCTGAGCAAAGGCCAGGAGGCGGAAAGTTCAGGGTGGGTTCAGGGAAGAAGGAGTGTCCAGTTTCTTTCTAAGTCAACAGCTCAAGGGCTTTTTGTAAGCGGACTGCCCAAGCGGAGCAGCCTCCAGTAAACACCTGTTTGCACAATCGAGGTCACACACAGGGGCGCGTTTGCACAATGACCTGTTTGCACAATCTTAGCCGCCTGCTGTATTCCAGCCAACCCCGGCCCTGGCAACTGAGCACCATAGCCTCAACTTCCGGGCTCTCACCCCAGCTTGCCTACCTGGCCCCCACCCCGGCCCCTCTGGAACAAGCTGCTCCTTGACCTACCCAGAAGCCCCACACATCACAGGCAGTAACAGAAACAGAAACAACTCTGGGCTCAGTAGCTAGGCTGCCGAGAATAGGGTTCCCTCATCAGCACTCCCTTACCGGGGGTTTCCAACACACAGAGGCCTTGTCTGATGGAGGAGGGGCGGGAGGCAGGACAACTGGAGGAGGAAGTATCCACAAAGCCGACACTGGGTGCGGGTAGAGGGGATGACTCCTCGTCTGTCTTGTGCTCTTCAATGCACCATAGTAAACACTTATTAAGCATTTACTGTGTGCCTAGCTGTGTTCCACAAACCTTACAGTCACTGATTTCTCTCAAGAATCCTATGAAGCCAATACTGTTAGCCCCATTTTACAGATGACAAAACCAAGGCTCAAAGAGATTAAACACTTGTTCGGAGTCACACAGGCAGCAAGTGGCAAAGCCAAGCAACCTGACTCCTCAGCTCATCATCTTAACCTCAGTACACCCTAAAGAAAGCTCTTCCTTAAATCTAACTTTCATTTCCTTAAATCTAACTTTTATTCCAGCTGCTGCAGCTCCGTTTCCTGGTGCGGGTCCTCAACAGAGAATGGAGCACAAAGGAGATCAGTAGAACCTCCCTTCTAAATATTGAATTATGCAGAAGGGAAAAAAGGAAAGCAACTTTATTGAACACCTACTGTGCGCTGGTTACCACACTAGGCGTTGTATTTCTGATAGCTCATTTAATTATCACAAAATCCCTGGGAGGAGTTATTATCGTTGTGACAGATTAGGCAACAGAGGCTTGGAGAAGGTAAACACCATCTCCAAGGTTCTGCAGCCCAACAGATACGCATTGAGTATCCTTTGTGTGTCCAGCACTGTACTGAGGCTGGAGAGGCAGAGGTAAGAATACGGTTTCTACCCTCAAAGAGTTCACAGTATAATGGAGGAGGCAGGCGGCCAACAGCCTACCACAGTATTACAGGATTAATGGGGAGAAGGGCCCCTGATTCAGTTTGACTAAGGTGTGGAAGCCCAGAGGGGTGCTGAGCTCAGGCTGGATGCTCGAACTGGGTCAGGAACAGGACTCGGCCAGCGGGAGGTGACAGGCACTCCACAGAGGAAGGGCAGAGGGTCGTTCCAGAGCCTGGGACAGGCAGGGAAATACTAGTGAATTTGGCATGACAGGCTGGATCTGAGGAAGCAGGGGCTGGTGAGGCAGGAGAGGGAGGCGAAGGTAACTTGCATGTCTGGTTGAGGAGTTAGGCTGCTATGACAGGCCTCTGAAGAAAGGCAGGGAAAGGAGAAGGATCACACGGCCATTGGCAAGGCTGAGATGGGAGCTCCATAAGGGCAGGAACTAAAACTGTGTCTCACCATTGTGTCGCTGCACCTGCTCCAGGAGCAAGTTCTCTGAATGACAAACAAAAGGCCCATTCTTTCATTAAGAACTGACTGGGGCCAGGCGCGGTGGCTCATGCCTGTAATCCCAACACTTTGGGAGGCCGAGGCAGGCAGATCACTTGAGGTCAGGAGTTCGAGACCAGCCTGGCCAACATGGTGAAACCCTGTCTCTACTAAAAATACAAAAATTTAGTCGGGCATGGTGGTGCGTGCCTATAGTCCCAGCTACTCAGGAGGCTGAGGCAGGAGAATCACTTGAACCTGGGAAGCAGAGGTTGCAGTGAGCCGAGATCGTGCCACTGCACTCCATACTGGGTGACAGAGCGAGACTCCATCTCAAAAAAAAAAAAAAATAAAAATAAAAAATAAATAAAAACTGACTGGAAGGCCAGGTACAGTGGCTCACGCCTGTAAAACCAGCACTTTGGGAGGCTGAAGTGGGCAGATCACTTGAGGTCAGGAGTTCAAGACCAGCCTCGCCAACATGGCGAAACCCCATCTCTACTAAAACTATAAAAATTAGCCAGGCATGGTGGCAGGCACTTGTAATTCCAGCTACTTGGGAGGCTGAGGCATAAGAATCACTTGAACCTGGGAGGCAGAGGTTGCAGTGAGCCAAAATCGTGCCACTACATTCCAGCCTAGGTGACAAAGCGAGACTCCGTCTCAAAAAAAAAAAAAGAACTGACTAGACATGGGAAAGTGGAGAAGGGGTTGTAAGGAATGACTCCTGAGTCCCTGAGCTGCATGACTAGGGAGAGGAGGGGATGGTGGTTAATTCACCATGACAAGGTATGTGGGGATTGGAGACAGATTTGGTGAAGTGGGGGAAGATTCATCTAGTTGATCATTCATTCAACAAACACGCATGGAGGCCTTACTGTGTGGCAAGCAGTGTTATAGACACTGGAGATAAAGTTTTAAACAAAACAGATAAAAAATGTTGCTCTTATGGAACTTTCAGTCTAGTGGGGATTGAGACAGCCAATATCAGATGGTGAAAAGGGATACGGGGGAGACAGAGATAGTGAGTGGGAGGGAAGGAGCTTACAAATTTTGAAAAGGGTGCTCAGAGAAGGCCTCAATGAGAAAGGGACATTTAAGCAAAGACCTGAAGAAGGGGAGGGACCAGCCCATGTAGCTATTTGCAGGGGAAACAGTCCAGGCAAATGAAACAGCAAAGGCAAAGGCCCGGAGGCAAGAGATAGCATAACAAGTTCAAGAAGCAAAGAACACAGAGTAGCTGGAGCAAGGCAGCAAAGGGGAGAATAACAGGAGAGGGATCCAGGAGGTAATGGGGATACCAGGTTGTGTAGGGCCTTGTAGACCATTGAAAGGGCTTTGACTTTGACTCTGAATGAGACAGGAGCCATTGGAAAGGTTGGGATGAGGATGGCCTGATCAGACTTGTTTGATTGATATCGCACCGGCTGCTGAAGGAACTACAGACAGGTGAGGAAACGAGGATGAAATGGAAGCAGGAGAGCAGGGAGGGGGCTATTGCGATGATCTAGGCAAGAGATGAGGGTAGCTGGGAGCTGGCTAGTATTGGCTTCAGTTACATTTGTATTTTCCAATATATTATCATAAAAATATTTGGGCCGGGCGCGGTGGCTCAAGCCTGTAGTCCCAGCACTTTGGGAGGCCGAGGCGGGCGGATCACGAGGTCAGCAGATCGAGACCATCCTGGCTAACACGGTGAAACCCCGTCTCTACTAAAAAATACAAAAAAGAAAACTAGCCGGGCGAGGTGGCGGGCGCCTGTAATCCCAGCTACTCGGGAGGCTGAGGCAGGAGAATGGCGTAAACCCGGGAGGCGGAGCTTGCAGTGAGCTGAGATCCGGCCACTGCACTCCAGCCTCGGCGACAGAGCGAGACTCCGTCTCAAAAAAAAAAAAAAAAATATTTGAACGTAGAGCCAACTTGAACTTTACAGTGAATACCCAGGATTCTGGTTATATTTTGAAAGAAGACAGTCCACGGGACTCACTGAGTGAGCAGAGCCTGTGGGGTATCTTGGGAGGGTTGCAGCCGGCGGTCAGGTCATTTGACCTGTAACTAGAACTGCAGCCCTGGTCTGCTGCAGCATCACACCAGACCCAGACGCCTAAAAATGATTATATGTTAAGGACAGTCTGCTGGTCTGTTGGTACCTAACCTTTTTTGGGTTATGAATCCAATAAACTATGAGCAGTTTGAACCTTTCTCAGAAAATGCAAGGAAAATTGTTTGTAGTTGCAGAGGAATCATGAATACAGACCAATAAAAGACATAAAATGTAGTCTATTTCACTCAATTACAAAATATTCAGTGTTGCAGAACCATTGTGGGTAAACATTACTAATTTTTAGTGAACATATGAGGACCCCGTGCCTCACCAAGACATCCTCCTGTCTTGCCCCCAGAATTCCTGTTTCTCCATCTGCCTGGTCTATGGGCAATGTGCAGAATACATAATGAAGAGGAGAGCAGTGAGTATTGGGTTATAAAATTCCCTGGAACCTGGAACACACCCTTCTGAGTACTGTGAAGACGTGGGCCCCAAGGCTAGAGCTGAAAAGAGGCTTGGGGCCGGGTGAGCCTTCCAGGCAGGGTCTGCTTCCAAGTGATGCTCCCCCAGGCTGGGGGGCATAGGGATGGAACCCAGCCAGGTGGGAGCCTGGGCCCTGCCCAGCCTCAAAGCTTCGAGCTCAGGAAATCCGGAGGCAGGGGAGGGGGACATCGTTGCCACATTCCCCAGCCCTTTAAGACCCCCAAGGCAGGAAGGCTGCCCGGGCCTCACCAGCTTCCCTCACAGGCTCCTTCCTGGGAGGAAGGGGCTGCCTGTGCCCTCGAAGGCGCAAGGGAGGGTAGGAGGGAGGCTCGGAAGGTGTTGCAATCCCCAGCCCCCGGGCCTGTCAGAGGCCGAGCCATTAACGACAGAGCTCGGGGAGAGAAGCTGGACTGCAGCTGGTTTCAGGAACTTCTTCTGACGAGGAGAAGAGAGACCAAGGAGATCAAGCAGGGTCCGGGCCAGAGGCTCCAACGTGAGTAGGGGATCCCTACAGAGGGGCTGAGCCTTGGGCTTGATGGAGAGCTGGAATCCTGGGGCCACTCCCCGCAGCTCTGCCAAGTGTTCATGTCCGGGGTCCTAGGCCTGGGGCCAAGGATTCGTGCTTTGGAACCCCAGCCCTGGACAGTGAGTCTCTTTTCACAGGATGCCCCTACTTTGGGGGGTATTGCACCAGGGAAGTCACTCACAGCCAAGTAGCTCCTTGGGGACACTGAGCTGGGCTGGGGACAGGCATAATCATTCTCCCCTCCCCATGCCTCTACCTCTCAGGACGTGTGTGTCTGAGTTCCAGCCGCGCAACCCCTCCCCGTCTGGGTCTCTATTTCACTCTCTGTTTCCATCTTTTCTCTCAGCTTCTCTCTGGCTTGTTATTTCTCTGAGTTTCTCTGTCTCGCATATTTCCTGCTATCTCTTGAATCTTAAACTCTTGGTAACAGACCGCCTCCTGGGCTCCGGGCCTCCGAGTGCCCCCCACTCTCTGGGTCAGTGTACATCGGGCCCTTTTTCTGTGTCTCTCGACACCTCTCTGGCCTCAGTCGTCCTCTTGGTGGGTCTCTGTCATTTTGGTCTGTGCGGATTTCAGTCACCTCCTCACTCTGCCACTCTTTGTATCTCTCTCTCTCTTTTTCTCTATCTGCAGCACATCTGGAAAGGCCTCTCCCCTCTGTTTATTCCCAGCCCCCTCCTCCCTCCCCACCCTTCCCACGGTGAGAGTAGAAACAGCAAGGGGGCCAGGGGTGTGAACTGGGGAAGAGAGTGTGAGGGGAGAGGGTTGAGTGTGATGAGGGAGAAACAGAAGGAGGGGATGTGAGAGCAGCCAGCCCAGGAGGCATCAAGGTGTGCTGAGCCGCGGGAGCGAGCACTTGCAGGGCCCAGCGGAGATGGCCAGTGATGGGAGGGCCAGGGGGCCAGGGAGCTAGGAAGAGGGGATCCAGAAATGGGGCTTTGGAACTGTGCAGTGTGGCACAGACAAAAGCAAGGTGGCAGTCCTGGGAGGTGTGACCACGCAGGCTGTGAGGAAGGCAGGGGTGAGGCGAGAACTGAACTGTGCTGGATTCCATGAGCTGCTGACTCGTTTTACGGCTCGTGAAAATAACCTACGGTTGCTGAGTGCCAACTCCATGCCAGGCACAGTGCTAAGTGCCTTTACCATAATCATCTCATTTCATCCTCACAACAACCCTGAGGAGTGAGTGCTAATGTTCTTTCTTTTCCACAGATGGGGAAACTGAGGCTCGGCTCGGAAAGGTGAAGTAACTTGTCCAAGGTCACAAAGCAGCAGGTAAGTGGCAGAGCTGGAGATCAAGTCAGGTGACCTGAGTCTGAGCTGGGCTCCAAAGCTCTCTGTATATCGGCCCCCCAGAGAGTGAGACTGAACAGGCCCTAGGCCCGCTCAACCAGGCTGGGGGATGTCTAGGGCTGCAGTGGAGGACCAGGGACTGAGGCCAAGCAGGGGGAGGATGCCGGGGCCTCTTGGGGTTAGGTTGTCTACTCTGGACAGGAGCTAGTGGGGGTGGATATGGTGGTACTGCACGGGGCACAGGCTAGGCCTGAAGCTGACCCTGGCTAGGGCAACAGGGCTGGGATATGATCAAAAGCACATAGAGATGAAAACCAGTGTCCCAAAATCTGGGCCTTGGAGGCTAAATCTTCCCCGACCAGTGTTGGGGGGGATGGATAATCAAACTGGTATGCTGTAGTAAGAAGGTTACCAACCACCAATGGGTAGACAGATGCTCGGGATAGCTCTGCAGGTTTCTCACTGCACAAAACTGAGGAGTAACTAGAGCCGAAATCCAGGCTGTTCCCTAGTTGCCAGGTCCTAGTGTGGTGCTGCATCCGTCCCGAGGATGGGGTGTTTTCTTTCTGATTTGCACAAAGGAGACTTACAGGCTAGCAGTCACTGGGTATTCTGATACTGCACTATACACGAATAGACTGGGGGTTTGGGTAAGGGCCCTGAGAGCAAGAACAGCCTTGGGTATCTGGGCAGTTCTTATCCACACCTCTGTCTGGGAGGGAGAGAAAAGGATTCTCCTACCTTTCTCCCTGCTGAGCACGAGGGACCTGCTGGGACACCACCTGCATGTATGTGTCCAGATATGTACATGCAAGCTGACCAGCAATTCCCACTGATCCGCCACCAAGAGCACCAACTCGTGCTGGAGGATCAGGTGTTGGCCCCAAGACCCCAACGGGAGCAGGGCGAAGATGAGGCTGGATACCCACCCAAGTGGTAGAAACCTCTGCATACTTCCTAAGACAGGAGCCAAGGCACCCTCCATCCAGGTGCTATGGCCGCGACCATATGATGCCTGACCCCAGAAGGCCACCAGAGGTCTGTGCCCAGAAGTGGGGGCATACTGGACCCCTCGGGTGCCCCACTTGATATTCTCTCAGCCCACATGGCTGAGGCAGCCAGCTTCCTGTAGGTGTAACCTGACAGCCCCTTGCCTCAGCTGCTCCATAGAGCTCTCCCTTTCATCCAGGGAGTGTGCCTGACAACACTGGCATGGCTTCCCCAGGAGAACCTGCCTAGTACTCATGCATGCCCAACCTGGATGTGCCAGGGAGTGAACACCCCAAGAGGCATCCCTTGACCAATGGGGGGCAGGAGTCAGTGGGTAAATCTTCCCGTCTTCCCTCCCATCCAAGGGATAAATTGACCCTCCGGTGGACAGCTCTGAGAAGTGTTCTACATGGCTCTTGGGAAGGTTCCAGCAGGATAGAGCCCCAGTTGTCCATAGAGGTGACCAACATATGATGTAACCTTGTGTTGGCTTTCTCTCTGTCCCTGTTTCATTCTCCCCACTTCATCCTCTCCTTATCTGCTGCTAGGATCTTCTCAAAATAAACCACCAGCATGCAATTCCTCATCTCAGGTTCTGCTCTCTGAAGGGAGCCCGGCTTAGATAGCTGGGAAGGGTGAAGAATGCTGTTCCTCACTGTTCCTTTCCCTGCTCTTTCCTGGAAGGCAAGTATAGTAACAGTGGCTGTCACTGTCATTTCCTATGTTCCAGGCGCTGTGCAAAGCCCTTGACTTGCATCATTTTGTGTCTTCCTCCCAAAGTCCCATGAAGTATAGGCTGCTGTTACTTCCATTTTGCAAAGGAACTAAGGCTCAGAGAAGTCAAGCAACCTAGTCAAAGCTGCACAGTGACAGACAAGGATTAAGATCAGCTCTGACTCCAAAGCCCATGGTCTTAAACAAACCTCCTGCCTCCAGGTGAACATCAAGTTGGCACTATGGCAAGGCTGAGAACCTGCAGCCTGACTTGGGCTGCTCTGATCATCCTGCTGCTCCCTAGAAGTGAGTATGGCCAAGGATGAGGGTGCAGTGGGGAGGGGAAGTTACAAGGAGAGATACTGGGAATTTTCTTGCACTGCCACACGGCTACTGGGATTCCCAGAGAATCCCAAAAGACTCAAGACTGAGCCACAGATATGGGGTAGCTGGCATCCCACCTACAGACTTCCACAGGCAAACCACCACCCAAGAGGAATGGTGAGATGACCTGGGCTGGTCATCCTGGAAAAGGCCAGTGGGGTGCAGATCTTGTCCACAAATCTCTACCAAGCGGTCAGAAGGAACCCATGGGTCCTATGTAGCCTTGGTGGGCAGCAAAGGGATCAGGACGGAAGCTACAAGGGGACAGGTTTCATCCTGAAATAAAGAAGCCCAGGCAGAGCTTGGTTACCAACTATGGAAACTCTGTCTTGAGAGGTAGAGAACTTCTCATCCCAAGGGGTATGCAAGCTGAAGCCAGGATTGACAAAGATGCTGTGCAGCAGGGGTTGGCAAACTTTGTCTGACAGTAATGTTTAGGCTTTGCAGGCCACATACTGTCTCTGTTCCTTGTTTGTTTGTTTGTTTGTTTGTTTTTGAGACAGGGTCTGCCTTGTTGCCCAGGCTGGAGTGCAGTGGCACAATCACAGCTCACTGCAGCCTCAACCTCCTGGGCTCAAGTGATCCTCCTGCCTCAGCCTCCAAGGTAGTACAGGGCATGCCACCACCCAGCTAATTTTTTTTGTATTTTTTGTAGAGATGTAGTTTTGCCATGCTGGTCTGAAACTCCTGGGTTCCAGTAATCCACCTGCCCTGACCTCCCAAAGTATGGGGATTACAAGCATGAGCCGCCATGCCCTGCCTATTGCATGTTTTTGTTTTTTCAGGGTTTTTTTTTTTGTTTTTTTGAGATGGAGTCTCACTCTGTTGCCCAGGCTGAAGTACAGTAGCGCAATCTCGGCTCACTGCAACCTCTGCCTGCCGGGTTCAAGCGATTCTCCTGCCTCAGCCTCCCGAATAGCTGGGATTACAGGCACCTGCCACCAGGCCCGGCTTATTTTTGTATTTTTAGTAGACACGGGGTTTCACCATGATGGCCAGGCTGGTCTCAAACTCCTGATCTCAGGTGATCCGCCCACCTCGGCCTCCCAAAGTGCTGGGATTACAGGCGTAAGCCACAGCGCCCAGGCCTGTTGCATGTTTTTATTTGGTTTTTGTTTTGTTTGTTTTTAACTCTTTAAAAATGTAAGGAACATTCTTAGTTGTTAGGCCATACAAAACTAGGCCACTCAAGCTCTGCTGTAGAGGGCAGAGCATCAGGTAGAGTTTTGAAGCAAACGACCTGGTAAAGTTCCTTCCAGCCTGAAATCCTGAGTCTGTGAAGCAGCAGAAGCCCTTTGCGAGAATCATGAACTTGCTCTGTGACCCTGGGCAAACTGCTTCTCCTCTTAGGGTCTTCGCATCCCCATCAGTAAAACGGGCCTAAGAAAACCTGAGAGAGGACAGAAAGCATTGCAGGCAAAGTGTATGTTTATTTGTTCGTTTATTTATCAAAAAAATATTCATCGACCGGGTGCGGTGGCTCACGCCTGTAATTCCAGCACTTTGGGAGGCTGAGGCAGGTGGATCACGAGGTCATGAGATCGAGACCAGCCTGGCCAGCATGGTGAAACCCCGTCTCTACTAAAAATACAAAAAAAAAATTAGCCAGGCATGGTGGCGCGTGCCTGTAGCCCCAGCTACTCGGGAAGCTGAGGCAGGAGAATCACTTGAACCCGGGAGGCAGAGGTTGCAGTAAGCTGAGATTGCGCCACTGAACTCCAGCCTGGGTGACAGAGCAAAACTCCATCTCAAGATAATAAATATTCACCAAGGTCCTACTCTGTACTAGGCACTGGGAATACAGTAATAAGCAAACAGCCAAGGTCTGCTGGCCTCACCGAATTTATAGTCTAGCTGGAGTGACAGATAAGTAAATAATCATAAGACTCTATAATTATGAAGGATAATAAGAGCTTTGAGGAAGCATAGGGACCTTGGCCTCCTCCAGTTCGTTAGTGCCTGGCCTGGTTTCTTCAAGATGCCTAAGCGTTAACCAGGTGAAACAGGGGTGGGAGAGAGAAAGAAGAGTCCCTCCAAAAAGAACAGCAGGCTGGGCACAGAGGCTCACATCTGTAGTCCCAGCACTTTGGGAGGCTGAGGCAGGAGGACTGCTTAAGCCCAGGAGTTCAAGATTAGCCTGGCCAACATAGTGAAACCTCATCTCTACACACACACACAAAAAATCAAAAAATTAGCAAGGTATGCTGGCATGAACCTGTAGTCCCAGCTACTCAGGAGGCTGAGGTGGGAGAATCACTTGAGCCTAGGAGGTCAAGGGTGCAGTGAGCCATGATTGTGCCACTTCACTCCAGCCTGAGTGACAGAGCAAGACCTTGAAGAAAAAAAAAAAAAAAAAACAAAAAAAAAAAAAAAAAAAAAAAAAAAAAAAAAAACAGCAGGTGCAAAGATCCAGAGATTAGAAAGATTATGGAGTTTTCAAAGAATAGCAAGAATGAGCCAGAATGGCTGGAGCTGAGAAACCGGTATAAGCTGGAACTGAGAGGGTCAGGCAGGGGCCAAGCCACAAGAGCTATGTCAAGGATTTGAGTCTGTCCTAATGATGGCAGCACATACTCACATGCCAGACACTGCTCTAAATGCCTTCCATATGTTATCGCATGTAATCCTTCCAGCAACACTAAGGTAGGAACGATTTTTATCCCCATTTTACAGACGAGAAAACTGAGGCACAGAAAATCTCAGAAATATACCAGGATCATGTAATTAATAAGCAATAGAACCAGAATTTAAACCGAGGCAGTCTAGTCCCAACATCCACACTCATCCATCACACCATACTGCCTTTCAGAGCAATAATGTGCCATTGAAGTGCTGCGATGGAGATGGGGTAGCAGAATCAGATTTCAATTGTGAAAAGATTGCTGTGGTTATGGGTTCTTATCACTCTAATCACTGCTTGCACCATCCTTGGGGAGGGCATTGGGGAGTTAACAGTCTCCATCTGGTGGTGTGCTGGTGCTGGCTTGCAAACACTAATTGGGAACATCTCTTCCCAACTCCCCGGTCAATGATGTCACTTTAGTAGGCTGAAATCAGCTACGGTGAGAGTATTTACACCACGGAAAGGCACACGCGACAAACCAGGGTCTGCTTTTCTCTGCCAAGCTGGCTGATAAACAGTTAGCGGCACATCACTATCTCTGTCTTACCTCCGTAGCCTCTCGAAGTCTCCGTTCACATCCTTCTATTTCCAGCCCCCATGTCTTGAAGGGTGAGAAAGGAAGGTGAGGGCCCTGAGTCTAGGAGTACAAAGGCCTAGATTATAGCCCAGCTCTGCTAGGCAGAGGAGTCGTTCCTGGCCCATTCTCTTCCACCCCAGGTCTGGAGGAGTGCGGACACATCAGTGTCTCAGCCCCCATCGTCCACCTGGGGGATCCCATCACGGCCTCCTGCATCATCAAGCAGAACTGCAGCCATCTGGACCTGGAGCCACAGATTCTGTGGAGACTGGGAGCAGAGCTTCAGCCTGGGGGCAGGCAGCAGCGTCTGTCTGATGGGAGCCAGCAATCTACCATCACCCTGCCCCACCTCAACCACACTCGGGCCTTTCTCTCCTGCTGCCTGAACTGGGGCAACAGCCTGCAGATCCTGGACCAGGTTGAGCTGCGCGCAGGCTGTAAGTCCCTCCAGCCATCCAACTACTCTGCCTCCAACACCCTCCTGCCAATACTAATAAGAATATTACCGGCCGGGCGCGGTGGCTCACGCCTGTAATTCCAGCACTTTGGAAGGCCAAGGCGGGCGGATCACCTGAGGTCAGGAGTTCGTGACCAGCCTGGCCAACATGGCGAAACCCTGTCTCCACTAAAAATACAAAAAATTAGCTGGGCGTGGTGGCAGGCGCCTGTAATCCCAGCTACTCGGGAAGCTGAGGCAGGAGAATTGCTCGAACCCAGGAAGCGGAGGTTGCAATGAGCCGAGATCACGCCACTGCACTCCAGCCTGGGCAACAAAAGCGAAAATTGGTCTCAAAAAGCAAAAGAATACTACCTATTGAGCTCTTATCTAATAAGCACTTTATGGGCATGGTATCAGGTAACAGTAGTACAAGTTGGTACTACTGTGTAGCCTCACTTTGCAGATGAGGAAACTGAGGGTCAGGGAAGGTACATGACTTGCCCTTGTCACACATTAATAAGGATGGAGGCAGCGTGGCTTTAAAGCCAGTGTGGTGACCACTACTCTACATAGCGCGAGTCCTCAGCCATCAGAGGGTGTCTCCAGGGAGAACATTCTCTACCAGCTGGGCTTGTCCCGGGCTTCTCCCCCACCCCAGTTTCAAACTTCCTTTCAAACTGAGCAAGATGGAGTTTGTGCCAAGTTGAGGCATAAGGAAAAAACAATGACCAAGGTTCTTGTTTGAGAATCAGTAACGGGCCAGGCACAGTGGCTCACACCTGTAATCCCAGCACTTTGGGAGCCTGTGGTGGGTGGATCATTTGAGGTCAGGAGTTTGAGACCAGCCAGGCCAACGTGTAAAAACCCCGTCTCTATTAAAAATACAAAAATTAGCCAAGCGAGCCAAGATCGTGCCACTGCACTCCAGCCTGGGCCACAGAGTGAGACTCTGTCTCAAAAAAAAAAAAAAAAAAAGCATCAGTAATGGCCACTGCTAAAACTTATGTAGCATTTCCTGTATGTCAGGCACTGTTCTGAGCACTTCATGTAGAGTGAGTCATTTAGCCCTCATGATAATGCTAGGGGGTGGGATTTTACCATTATCCCCATTTTACAGATGAGGATGCTGAGGCACAGAGCAGTTAAATAACTTCAAGATCACAGGGCTAATGAATGGCAGGACCAGGATGAAAACCCAAACACTACACTGTCACTGACAAAGGGTCTGGAGTTGGGGGACTTGGAAGTGGGCCACCACTGGGCTGCTGGGGGTCTGTGAGGCTTGCCCCTGTGCATGCCTGCAACTTAGCTTCCCCCAGGGCTGCCCTTCCAGAGCCACTCTGCCTGGAGACGGGGGGCAGACAAGGTGACAACAGAGGAACCAAGCTAGGGCAAGGCAACACGGCTAGCTAGTCCCAGAGGGCGCTTTCTGAATGGTCCCACCCAAAGCCCTCACACTCTTCCCACCCACATGCAGACCCTCCAGCTGTACCCCGCAACCTCTCCTGCCTCATGAACCTCACAACCAGCAGCCTCATCTGCCAGTGGGAGCCAGGACCTGAGACCCACCTACCCACCAGCTTCACTCTGAAGAGCTTCAAGTGAGGAGGGGCCCCCACCCTGGTCCCCTCCCTTTGGATTCTGGGGTGGGGCATGGGTAGGATGTTGGGCATGCCTCTGGGAGGGAGAAGGGAGCCTCGCTTTCTTCCTCTGCTTGGCACCCAAGGCTGGACTATTGGCAGGAGCCGGGGCAACTGTCAGACCCAAGGGGATTCCATCATGGACTGCGTGCCCGAAGACGGGCAGAGCCACTGCTCCATCCCACGCAGACACCTGCTGTTGTACCAGAATATGGGCATCTGGGTGCAGGCGGAGAATGCGCTGGGGACCAGCATGTCCCCACAACTGTGCCTTGAGCCCATGGACGTCGGTGGGTGATGCAGGGGAGGGAGGGGGTCCCCAAAATGGGCAGACACTGAGAAGAAGGGAGAGGGAAACACAGAACCAGCAACAGACAAGAAGACACTGGAAGACCTAGAGACAGAGGCAGAGGAGAGGGACGGAGACAAAGAGAGGTGCAGCTGGAGACAGAGAAATGGTGACACAGACCCAGAGACAGGAAGAGACACAGAGGCAAGGAGGCACATTCAGTCATGCTTTCAGCTAAAGCACCCACTACGTGTTAGGCACTGCCCTAGGTACTGGGGATACAAAGCATCAAAAATCCTGCCCTCAGAATGTTAGATTCCAGTGGGGGAAAAAATAAGATAGAATTTCAGATGGCAATAAGTAAAAAGGAGAAATTAAAGGAGGGGAAGGGCATAGAGAGAGAGGGGAAGGGGAGCACTGGCTATTTCAATAGGTTTGTCAATAAAGGCCTCACTAAGAGGGTGACAATTGAGCAGATCCTTGAAGGAAATGAGGGAGCAAGCCCTGGATATCTGGAGGGAAAACATTTCAAGCAGAAGTAACAATCAGTGCAAAGGCCCTGGGGCAAGAGCAGATAACAGACACCTAGAGAGAAACAAAGACACAGAAAGAGGAACCACAGAAACCGGCCATTAGCAACGTGGACAGATGGTGAACCGCAGACAGGGAGACAAGAGGGAGCTAAAGCAGAGCCCTCTAGGGTGGGGCAGGGAGACTTTCTGACAGTCCCACTCCTTGCAGTGAAACTGGAGCCCCCCATGCTGCGGACCATGGACCCCAGCCCTGAAGCGGCCCCTCCCCAGGCAGGCTGCCTACAGTTGTGCTGGGAGCCATGGCAGCCAGCCCTGCACATAAATCAGAAGTGTGAGCTGCGCCATAAGCCACAGAGTGGAGAAGCCAGCTGGGCACTGGTGAGGCAGAGGGCAACCTGGAGAGCCTGAGGTGGTGGGGGCAGGGGGTAGGGTAAGTTGGGCTTGAGCTGGCCCTAGAATGACCCAGCGATCCAAGGCTCAGGGTCATGTCCACCCCCAACCAGGTGGGCCCCCTGCCATTGGAGGCCCTTCGGTATGAGCTCTGTGGGCTCCTCCCAGCCACGGCCTACACCCTGCAGATACGCTGCATCCGCTGGCCTCTGCCTGGCCACTGGAGCAACTGGAGTCCCAGCCTGGAGCTGAGAACTACTGAACGGGGTAAGGAGGTGATGAGAGGCTGGCAGCAGCCATTAGTATCCAGTCCAGGCTCCACGGCCTTCCCCAACTGGCACGCCCTCTTCTTGTTCCGTCCACAGCCCCCGCTGTCAGACTGAACACATGGTGGCGGCAGAGGCAGCTGGACCCCAGGACAGTGCAGCTGTTCTGGAAGGTGACTCCCTCTGAAGGCCATCCCTCCACCTCCACACCTCCTCCAATCCAAACAGGCCCCTGCAAACCGAGGCTTAGGACTGCAACAGGTCTGGGAGGCGTGGATGCAGTTATATGTGATTTGCATGCAATTTGCATGTGCCTAGGGAGCTGAGTTAGCTTTTGGAGAGACAACAACGCAGGTCACAGGGTACTTCAGTGAATAGTTAAGAGCCTGCTGTGTGCACCGACTTGTTTCTTCCTGCCCTCTGGCTTCTTCCTGCCCTCCTTCCTAGAACCTAGCACAAGGGGACAGAGGGAAAAGGGGAGGGGGATGAGAAGCCTGGCCCCAGCCTGGGGAGGCTCCGTTCGTATGATCCATCCACCCCACCTAGAGGCTCTCCTCGACTCAAGATGAACTGCACATCCCCTTCTCTTTTTCCTCCTGTGCCCCACAGCCAGTGCCCCTGGAGGAAGACAGCGGACAGATCCAAGGTTATGTGGTTTCTTGGAGACCCTCAGGCCAGGCTGGGGCCATCCTGCCCCTCTGCAACACCACAGAGCTCAGCTGCACCTTCCCCCTGCCTTCAGAAGCCCAGGAGGTGGCCCTTGTGGCCTATAACTCAGCCGGGACCTCCTGTCCCACCCCGGTGGTCTTCTCAGAGAGCAGAGGTAAAGGGGGCTGGGGGCCAGAAGAACACAGAGGTCAAGCGCATCAATTCGAAGGCTAGACTGCCTGGGTTCAAATCTAGTCCCCTTTGCCGGGGGTGGTGGCTCACACCTATAATCCCAGCACTTTGGGAGGCCGAGGTGGGCAGATCATCTGAGGTCAGGAGTTCAAGACCAGCCTGGCCAACATGGTGAAACCCCCATCTCTACTAAAAATACAAAAATTAGCCAGGCATGGTGGCGGGCACCTGTAATCCCAGCTACTCGGGAGGCTGAGGCAGGAGAATTGCTTGAACCTGGGAGGCGGAGGTTGCAACAAGCTGAGATTGCACCATTGCACTCTAGCCTGGGCAACAGAGGGACACTCCGTCTCAAAAAAAAAAAAAAAATCTAGTCCTATCACTTGCTAACAGTGTGACCTGAGCAAGTTACATCCCGTCCCCAGCCTCTGTTTACACATCCAGCAGATGGCGACGATAACAGTGCCTACTGAGGGGTGCTGTGGGGTGTACATGAGTTAAGACAAGTACCTGGCACAAAGTAACTGCTCTGCATGTGTCCGCTGTTGTTATTATCATTAGCCAGAACCAGGTTAAGCGCTCTCTCTCTCTCTCTCTCTCTCACACACACACACACACACACACACACACACACACACACACACAGCCCATTCTGCCAAGAAAGCCAAGAGAGAAAGCCCTAGGCTTTTCCACCTGGAACATGGTCTATGAGTTCATTGCTCATTCTCAGGAGATCAGCTGCCACCACCCATTGCTTTCCCTAAACATGGGTCCTCACCAGGTGGGACGAATAATCACAATAACAATAATCATAGCTAATATTCCCACTTACTAGCTGTGTGATCTTAGATAAGTTTCTTAACCTCTCTGTGTCTCTCAGTTTTCTCATTAATAAAATGGGAACAAGAGTAGTACTTCCTGGGTATAACTATTAGAGGACTCAGTGAATTAAAACATATCAAGGAATCCAGTACAGTGGCTCATGCCTGTAATCCCAGCACTTTGGGAGGCTGAGGCAGGCAGATCACCTGAGGTCAGGAGGTCAAGACCAGCCTGGCCAACATAGTGAAACCCCATCTCTACTAAAAACACAAAAATTAGCCAGGCATGGTGGCGGTTGCCTATAATCTCAGCTACTTGGGAGGCTGAGGCAGGAGAATCACTTGAACCAGCGAGGCAGAGGTTGCAGTGAGCCAAGATGGCGCCACTGCACTTCAGCTTGGGTGACAGAGCAAGTCTCCGCATAAAAATAAAATAAAATAGAAAAGAATAAAGTAAGGTAAAGTAAAAAGTAAACTAAAATAAAATATATCAAGAACTACGCCTGATACATACCAAGAACCATAGAGTGTTAGCTATTATCACTAACAAGAACTACTCTGTGCCAGGCACTACGCCAGGCTTGTTTTGTGCATCAAGTCATTTAATCTGCACTGAGACCCTATGAGGTAGGAACTTTTATCATCATTTCCACTTTACAGATGAGGAAACTGAGGCTCAGATGTTGACCTACCAAAGGTCACCCAGTCTGTAAGTAGCAAAGCCAGGATTTGAACCCAGGCTTCTGGCTCCAGGGCCTGCATTCTTTTCACCTTCATTCCACCATTTCCCACCATCTCCAGGCCCAGCCCTGACCAGACTCCATGCCATGGCCCGAGACCCTCACAGCCTCTGGGTGGGCTGGGAGCCCCCCAGTCCATGGCCTCGGGGCTATGTGATTGAGTGGGGCCTGAGCTCCCCCAGCACGAGCAATAGCAACAAGACCTGGAGGATGGAACAGAACGGGAGCGCCACGGGGTTTCTGCTGCAGGGTAAGGCTGGCCTGGAAAGCTGGGCAGGGCCAGGGACAAAGGGAGGCAGCGCTTGTCTGACAATAGGCATGGGGCAACCTGAACTGCCCAAGAGACATGGATTCTCCAGCCTTTCTTGATCCTTCACTGTTCTCATTTCATATCCTCATAATCAGGAAGTTCTCCTATAGTCCAACCTGATCCTTTTTCTATAGCCCTGACCCTGCCACCCTTCTAGCTCTCTCTTCTACTTTTCTTCCCTAATTTTCATCAAATGATCTAAAGAAGATATTGCGGAGGTTAACCCTGAATCATGAGCCCAGGTTAGCCCTGACTAGAGGTCTGAGGCTAGCTCCGGATCATTAGCACAGGTTAGCCCCTAACAGGAATGCCTACCTCATTTTCTTTCTACAGAGAACATCAGGCCCTTTCAGCTCTATGAGATCACTGTGACTCCCTTGTACCAGGACGCCATGGGACCCTCCCAGCATGTCTATGCCTACTCCCAAGAAATGGGTTCGTCAACCATCAGGCCCCTTTCCAGAATCCTCTCCTCTCTCTCCCAAGGCTCTGACTGATCCCCAGCAATCAGCAGTATAGGGAACATTGCCTTCTTACCATACTTCCGGCCCTGGAGAGGATCTCTCCCAATCCCCTGGCTTAACACTGGATCCCTACAGCTGGACAGAAATCAGGTGCTGTGATAGAAATTGAGTAGAGAGTTGGCACAATTCAAGGAGCAAACCTGGCAAAAATCAATCCATTTCCCAGACAAAAATAAGGTGTTATACGTAACAGAAATTGGACAGAGGGGCCGGATGCAGTGGCTCACACCTGTAATCCTAACACTCTGAGAGGCCAGGGCAGGCAGATCCCCTGAGCTCAAGAGTTTGAGACCAGCCTGGGCAACCTTGTCTCTACAGAAAAATAAATAAATAAATCAACCAGCCAATCAACCAAAAATTAGCTGGGTGCAGTGGTGTGTGCCTGTAACCCCAGCTACTTGAGAGGCTGAGGTGGGAGGATCGGATTGCTTGAGCCCAGGAGGTCGAGGCTGTAGTGAGCCAAGATGGCACCACTGTACTCCAGCCTGGGTGACAGAGCGAGACCCTGTCTCAAAAACAAAAGCAAAAGAAATTGGACAGAGGACCTGGCATAAATTCGGAGAGTGAGTGGCAGAAATCAGAGAGTAAATCAGATGAAATCAGGCCTGGTAGAAATCAGAAAGTGAGGCTCCAGAGTCAAGCAGAGCCAGGTTCAAATCCTGGCTTAGATACTTATTAGCAGTAGGTGGAATCTGGATTAAATCCCTGGGAAAATGAGGCTTGGGCATGAGTCCCCTTGGACTCTTTTCTCACCCACCCCACAGTGCCTGAGAAGCTACAAGAAGTCCAATCGGGCTCTTGCTCTGCCCCACTCCCTTCAGCCCCTGCACCTCTCTCTTCCCACAGCCCCCCGCCATGCCCCAGAGCTGCATCTAAAGCACATTGGCAAGACCTGGGCACAGCTGGAGTGGGTGCCTGAGCCCCCTGAGCTGGGGAAGAGCCCCCTTACCCACTACACCATCTTCTGGACCAATGCTCAAAACCAGTCGTTCTGTGAGTCTATCCTCAGTTCCCCACAGCCCCAGAAGGCCCGGGAGGGGGTGCTCAGCCGCCATGGAGGCAGCTTCAGCATCCAGGCCTACGCTGACCGTACACCCCTCCCAGCCACCATCCTGAATGCCTCTTCCCGTGGCTTTGTCCTCCACGGCCTGGAGCCCGCCAGTCTGTATCACATTCACCTCATGGCTGCCAGCCAGGCCGGGGCCACCAACAGTACAGTCCTCACCCTGATGACCTTGATCCCAGGTAAGGGGAGACAAGGGCTGGGCAGAGATGGCTATTGGAAGGGTACCCCACCCAAAGGATGCTGATTTTGAGAGTACATGGGGACTGACTTTGAATCCCCTGGTCGGAGGGAGGAGACCCAGCCTTCCCCACATGCATTCTAACTTCTTCTGGACCTGCCCTCACTGCAGAGGGATCCGAGCTACACATCCTCCTGGGCCTGTTCGGCCTCCTGCTCTTGCTCTCCTGCCTCTGTGGAACTGCCTGGCTCTGCTGCAGCCCCAGGTGAGTCCCTTTGAGAGACCTGAGATCCTGCCTCCCCCACCCACAGGGAACCTCAGGTCCAGGTGGGCCCATCTAAGTCCCTTCCAACCTTCCCAAACTTTAGGGCCCATGTCTGAGAGTCCCAGCCCCCAGCTTCTTCTCTCTGCACTAAGGGCAGCTGCATCTCTTCAGGTGGGATGGGTGGGACAAAGGATGGAAAGATTGGAGGGTATGTCTGACCCAGCCTCCCCCTGCCCTCCTCTCCAGCAGGAAGAATCCCCTCTGGCCAAGTGTCCCAGACCCAGCTCACAGCAGCCTGGGCTCCTGGGTGCCCACTATCATGGAAGAGGTGAGAATCCAGGAGGGAGAGGGAAATGAGGTGGGGATGTCAGCCCAGGCTCAGTGAAGGGACATCTTCTGAAGCCAAGTACTCAGGCCTTCCTGTCACTTCCGGCAACATCCCCTCCCTTTGGAGTGAAGCAGACCCAAGTTTGAATCCCAGCTCTGTCCATCTCAAAGCCTCAGCCACCTCCCTGTGATATGGAAAAACTGACCATGCTGAGCCCGAACGGTGCATGGCATGTGTCAGGCATGTGTGAGGAACATACCAGTGCTTTGCAAGTGGAACCCTTTGTGTTCCAGCAGTAACAGCAGGAATGTCCCCACAACTGCCTGGACCTAGACAGGGACGGTGGCTGGGGCAGACATCTGAAAGGAGCCGTGCCCTCACCCCACATCCTTGTGTGCAGGAGGCCTTCCAGCTGCCAGGCCTGGGCATGCCACCCATCACCAAGCTCACAGTGCTGGAGGAGGACGAGAAGAAGCCACTGCCCTGGGAGTCCCATGACAGCTCAGAGACCTGTGGCCTCCCCACTCTGGTCCAGACCTATGTGCTCCAGGGGGACCTAAGAGCAGCTTCCGCCCAGCCCCAATCCCAGTCCGGCACCAGCAATCAGGTCCTCTACGGGCAGCTGCTGGGCAGCCCCACAAGCCCAGGGCCAGGGCACTATCTCCGCTGCGACTCCACTCAGCCCCTCTTGGCGGGCCTCACCCCCAGCCCCAAGTCCTATGAGAACCTCTGGTTCCAGGCCAGCCCCCTGGGGACCCTGGTAACCCCAGCCCCAAGCCAGGAGGACGACTGTGTCTTTGGGCCACTGCTCGACTTCCCCCTCCTGCAGGGGATCCGGGTCCATGGGGTGGAGGGGCTGGAAAGCTTCTAGGGCTTCCTGGGGTTCCCTTCTTGGGCCTGCCTCTTAAATGCCTGAGCTAGCTGGAGGAGAGGGGAGGGTCCAGAAGCCCATGACTAAAAACTACCCCAGCCCAGGTTCTCCCCATCTCCAGCCACCAGCATCCCCTCTCCCGCCAGTCTCCATAGGCTGGGCCTCCCAGGCAATCTTCATACTTTAAGGACCAGATCATGCTCCATCCGGCCCCACCCAATGGCCTTTTGTACTTGTTTCCTATAACTTCAGTACTGTAAACTAGCTTTTGGTTTGGAGTTTTTGTTATTGTTTTTGGACACTCTTGGGTGTACCTGAGTCTCTGCTATTTATTTTTCAGGGCCCAGCAGTCAGGGGGAAACTTCTCAGAGTTGGTCCTTCTCCCCTCCCTCCCTGCCTTCCCCCCTCCCTCCCTGCCTTCCCCCCTCCCTTCCTTCCTCCCTTCCCCCCTCCCTTCCTTCCTCCCTTTCCCTTCCTTCCTCCCTTTCCCTTCCTTCCTTCCTTTCTCTTTCTTCCTTCTGCTAGCTCTCAGCATCTAGGCCCTATGCAAATGACTCAGCTCAGTTCACCCTCAGAGGGCTCCATTCTAGTGGTGGGGACTTGAAAACTGATCCTTAGTGCACAGTAGCATGGGTTACATGGGGGGAGTGACAGAGTGCGGTGGGACACGGTGAAGAGACTTTGGAAAAAACTAACCCCTGTTGGGGAAATATAATTTAAGACAAAATCCCCTGCCAATCCAGAAAACCTCTTCACAAGGGTAGAAAAGCAAGAAAACAGTATTATTGAATAAGCATTAAACCAGAATGTGATACACTGGTGATCCACTAAAGAGACTGCAAAGAGAGAAAAATCTTACCCTTTTATGTAGCCAAGTGAATACAATTTATTGTATCCATTTTCTCAAGATAAACAATAACTGGTCCTCAAGCAAGAGGACTTGGCGGCACCCACTCTAAATTTACCTGGTAAGTGGGAAGCCACCTGTGTCTGCTAATTGCCTTTATCCAAAGGAAAAATCTATTTCCCCTATCTTTATGACAAGGGGTAGGTTGCAACTAAGAGCTAGGCACCAACTGAAGTTAGGCTCCTACCCTCCCACAGGAACTGAGGGAGAGAGCACTATCCTCCTTAATTATTACATTTCAAAGAGTTGGCTCCCAGGTCCTTGAGAAAAACATTCCGGGGTTGTAAAACTGGCAAGAGGTTTATTTACCTTTTAAGCAGTAGAAAAAGTATTCACAATTACAAGTTTTCTAAAGTAAATGCTTTCAGAAAAGTGAGAAGAAGGAGTCTTTTCCCTTTTTGCTCCAGGGAAAATTAAATTCTCTTTTTCTTCTAATTTGTATTCACCCTTACACCACTGTTTCACAAATAACATCACCGTTAAGATTTACTAAATGCTCACTATATACCATGTGCTCTGCATACAACTGCCTCAGTTAATCCTCTCAACAACCTAAAGGAGAGATATTGTTATTACTACCCCTACAGGGCCCACAAAGGTTAAGTGACTTGCCCACAAGATCACACGTTGAGTAAATGGCTGAGTTAGGATTCCAGACCAGGGCTGTACGATTCCAAACTCAACGACTTTAGTCTCCAGGCTACCAGGCTGCCAGAGGCACGGCTGAAATCCAGTATTAGTTCTTACAGGGTCCCATCCTTGACTAAGGGACTGAGGGGTGGGGTGGAGAAGGGATTGGGTTGGGGGTATAAGGCTACCGCAGGCGCCATGGAACTCCCACAATAACCCCGGCCCGAGGGCCAGGAATGTACTGAGAGATTAAGGACGGGATGCATGCCCTCCAAAAAGTGGCATTTTAGAATTTATACAGCACCCCAGCACACTGCTAAACGTGGGCACACAACCATCACGGCCCGATCACGCGTAGCGGGAACCCGGTCTCTGAGCTCCACCCCGTGTGTCGCGTCATCAGAGTCCCGCCGGCCAATCCATTCTCTCGGTCTTCGTCTGCTCCGGTGTTGCAACTGCCTCCATTGATCGAGCCTGGGCGAGCATGGCGGCGCCCATGTAACCCGGCCCGCGCCGCAAAGGGAACGACGGCGGCAGCGCGGGCCCCGCGGGGGTTAGAGGTCATCATGCTCAGGGTCGCGTGGAGGGCGCTGAGTTTGATTCGGACCCAGGCGTCAGTCCTCGGGCTACCGGGCGGTGGGAGCGCCAGGTTTCCTTTCAACCAGCGGGGCCTGCAGCCTCGAAGTGAGGAGCTGAGAAATGGGACGGCGGGCGTAGGGAAACAGGGTTCGGCGGCGATAGGGAATAAGGAAGGACAGGAGTAGGGGAGATTTACAGCGGTCAGGATAAGGGGGAAAGGGCGGTGGTTGCGCAAGAGGTGAAACAAGGTGTGAGAGACAAGGAAGGGATAGGGAAGAAATGGGGCAGCGGTTAGGCTCAGAAGCCCATAAACCGTGGCGGACGGACAATGCGAGAGGCCCAGAAAGGAATTGAGGGTGGACTATTTAAGGAGATGGGCCTCAGCCTTCTCTTTTCTGCGTAGGTCTCCTCCTCCAGGCCGCGCGCGGATATGTCATCCAGAACCCAGGTAGGAGGTTCCTGAGGTGGGACTTGGGGCGGAACAGAGACCGCCTGGAAGGCTGGGGTGGGTAAGGGGACCGATGTGGCGAGTTAGAGCCACTAGATGGGGTGAGCCAGAGGTCCTGAGCAAAAGACTCCACGTCTACCTTATACAAAGCCCTAGGCCTGCTGCCTGTATAGAGAGAGAGAGGTGTTAAGGGTGGGAGCAAGTGAATGAGTGAAAATGAGCTTGCCAGAGGAAGTGCATGGCTGGCACCACCCAGGCCTACCTAGAGTATGGCACTTTGTGTCTGCGCTTCTGAGATGCAGGATGTAGTTTCCCATTGCAACTCAGTATGTGTAGTAGTTAAGATCCTTCTTATTAAGTAAATGATATGGGGAGAGGTACTTCCTCTTTCTGATTCTTATTTCTAAAATGAGTGTGAAAGTATCCATTTGCAAGGATTGTTAGGATTCAGCGATAATACATGAAAAGCATCCTTAACACTGTGCTCAATTAAACATATTAGTAGTATATATTAGAATTTATTATCCGGGGCTGGATGCGGTGGCTTACGCCTGTAATCTCAACACTTTGGGAGGCCGAGGTGGGTGGATCACTTGAGTTCAGGAGTTCGAGACCAGCCTGGCCAACATGGTGAAACCTCCTCTCTACTAAAAATACAAAAAAAAAAAAAAAAAGCCGGGTGTGGTAGCGCGCGCCTGTAATCCCAGCTACTCAGGAGGCTGAGGCAGGAGAATCGCTTGAACCTGGGAGGTGGAGGTTGCAGTGAGCCGACCAGGCCACTGCACTCCACCCTGGGTGACAGAGCGAGACTCCATCTCAAAAAACAAAAAAAGAAAAAGAAATTATTGGCTGGACATGGCCCCAACATTTTGGGAGGCCAAGGCTGGAGGATCACTTGAGGCCAGAAGTTCAAGACCAGCCTGAGCAACATAGCACGACCCAGTCTCCACAAAAAATAAAATAAGTAGAATTTATTGCTGTTAATATGTTTGTGATATAATTTTTTTTTCTGCCTCCCTATCAGAACCAACTTGAGCTGTTACAGACAGAAGAGGCCTGTTAATGTTATTTGCATAGCAGGGTCTGACTGGAGAGGATAAGTCCATCCACCCTATGCCTCTTTCTCATCTCCAAGGGATAGCAGGGGTGCACACACCCAGACTGAGGTTCTCCTGTGATCTCTACCTGGTGCTTACATTTCAGGCATCGTACAGCTAGCTGCCTTTCCTCAACCCCCTTAATTCATTCATGCAGTCAGCCAGCAAGTGTTTGCTGAGTGCCTAGTCTAGGCTGAGCCATGGGTCAGACTATGGTGGATTCCAAAGGAGTCAAACTCTGTCCTGTCCACAGGAGGACCCATCCTAGTGGGGGATCTGAGAACTGTAGAGCCAGATAGGTGTGTGAAAGGTGCAGGCACAGTGTAGGGTCTTGGGAAAAGCCACCTACTCCCAGCATGAAATATCAAAGCAGGCCGGGCGCGGTGGCTCAAGCCTGTAATCCCAGCACTTTGGGAGGCCGAGACGGGTGGATCACGAGGTCAGGAGATCGAGACCATCCTGGCAAACACGGTGAAACCCCGTCTCTACTAAAAAATACAAAAAACTAGCCGGGCGCGGTGGCGGGCGCCTGTAGTCCCAGCTACTCGGGAGGCTGAGGCAGGAGAATGGCGAGAACCTGGGAGGCGGAGCTTGTAGTGAGCTGAGATCCGGCCACTGCACTCCAGCCTGGGCGGCAGAGCGAGACTCCGTCTCAAAAAAAAAAAAAAAAAAAAAGAAATATCAAAGCAGGTGCCCACAGAGTTTGCAGAGGAGGAGCTGAGCTCAGAGATATGCAGTGCTTTGCTTGAGACCCTGGATGTCCCTTCTGGAGTTGGAGAGTGGGTGAGAAGAGCCAGGTCTGGGAGGGTGGGCAGCGAGAGTTGACTCTGGGTGTTTTCTATCCCCATATTTACTTGACAGCCCAGCCTGGGCAGAATGATGACCCACCTCCTTCTACACTGCTCAAAGACTACCAGAATGTCCCTGGAATTGAGAAGTAAGCAGGAAGAAACCTAGTAGAGGAGGCAGGGGGCCCTGGGAGGATTGTCGGGGAGTGGGAAAGACAGTGGCTTTGAGATTTGGCTTGCTGTAGCTGAAGCTTGATCTAGAAGGAGGCAGGGGCCCAGGTGTGGTGAGGGTGGGTGGTCAGCAAGGCAGATGGCACTCATGAAGCTCGGCTACTTGGGGGTTTTTTTGTACTCTAGATGAACACCCTGTACCACTAGATTCCAAAGAGCTAACATACTTCACAGGTCTTTGTAGAAATCTCTTCTCTTGTTCCTCACAAAAGCTGTATGTCTCCATTTTATAAATTTTCAAGCTGCCCGGTGTCATACAGTTCTAAGGGGCAGAGCTAGAGTTTGAATCCAGGGCTGACTGACACCAAAGCCAGAGGCCCTCTGCTCAGCTCCTGTCCAGTGTGGTGGGAGCTCGTCAGTCCCTCCCACTGTGCAATTTAACTTGAAATGTCTCAAAACAGATCGAACCATGTTGTAGCTAAAATGGAAATCCTCTCCTTGGCCTCCCTATGATGAGACCGAAACAGTCGAGCTGACAGCCCCAATTTCTATAGTTTTCAGCCCAGCAAGCCAGATCCACACTGACTTTTAATTTCTGGGAAATGGCTCCCCACCTCCAGGGAGATTCATTTGCTACAGAAGGAATTTTTCAATCATCTTTGCTTTTCAAACTAAAATGAACCAGCATTGCTTTCCTCTCCCTGTCTCCTCCCTATGTCTGTCTCATTGCTGTGGTTTTTCCACAGGGTTGATGATGTCGTGAAAAGACTCTTGTCTTTGGAAATGGCCAACAAGGTGAGCAGCCTCTGCCAAACCTCAGCCTCCCGCAGTCTTCTCCTCTGGGACTCCCTCCTACCCTGGTTAGCACCCCCCATCTCATGCTTCTCCAGTCACAGCACTTAGCCCATTGTCATTCTGTGTCCACTTGTCAATATCCCTAGACACAGCATCTTCAGGGCAGGGACACTTTTGTTCCCCCACCATACCCCTAGCACCTGACAAACAGGTGCTCAGTGAATGAATGAATGAATGAGCAAGCTTTGGGGACATTCATGCAACAAGTCATTTCCCCTGTCAGTGGCTTTGGCTTTGGGCTCACCTGGATGTGGACAGCCATGTGGTTGGTCAAGGCCACAGTGAGCAGAGTGAGGTCAGGCCCTAAGCCTTATGGCCCTAGTTGCTATAACTGTAGCCAGGGTCCTTGAGGGGAAGAGGGCTAGTTCTTAGAGGGTGGGAGACTCCACAAATTTTCTCTGTCTCTTCAACAGAAGGAGATGCTAAAAATGAAGCAAGAACAGTTGATGAAGAAGATTGATGCAAACCCGGAGGACACCAGATCCCTGGAGGCTCGAAGTTGGTCGGGGACCCTTGGGGAGTGGGGGGTGTAGGGAAGCCTGCTAGCTGGGACCTGATCTAGGGCTCTTGTCTACAAGCACATGCACATGGGCTTGGGAAAGGGAGAGATATGACCTAGGGCAATGAAAACGACCCTGTATCCCAAGCTCTGATGCTGAAGTCAATGCCCAGTTGGACCTTGTACCTCTGTGTGAGCTTGCGTAAGTCACCAACCCTCTCTTGGAGCACCTGCTTCCTCATCTGGAAATGGGGGAATAAGGGAGAGCAGAGCAGAGGTAATGTTACCCACCTCATGGCAGCACTGTGAGAGGCAGCCAGGGGATGTAAACACACCTTGGAAACTAAAGCTCACGATGTATGATAATAGTAAGACTAGACTGGGCGTGGTGGCTCACGCCTTTAATCCCAGCACTTTGGGAGGCCGAGGCGAGCGGATCATGAGGTCAGGAGATCAATACCATCCTGGCTAATATGGTGAAACCCCGTCTCTACTAAAAATACAAAAAATTAGCCAGGCACTGTGGCGGGCGCCTGTAGTCCCAGCTACTCGGGAGGCTGAAGCAGGAGAATGGCCTGAACCCAGGAGGCGGAGCTTGCAGTGAGCCAAGATCACACCACTGCACTCCAGCCTGGGCGACAGAGCAAGACTCCATCTCAAATAAATAAACAAATATATAAATAAAATTTAAAAACAAAACAAAAAAATACAAAAAATTAGCCAGGCATGGTGGGGGGCGCCTGTAGTCCCAGCTACCCAGGAGGCTGAAGGAGGAGAATGGCATGAATCCAGGAGGTGGAGCTTGCAGTGAGCCGAGATCTCGCCACCGCACTCCAGCCTGGGCAACAGAGTGAGACTCAGTCTCAAAAATATAAAAAAATAATAGTAAGACTAACATTTACTGAACCCTCATGTGCCAGGCAGACACCATTTTGCATTCCCAAGGGAATAATGTTCCTACTTTGGTTCAGGCTGGAACTGGCAGTAGTCCTCATTAGATGTGAGTGAAAAGCGCCACCATTTCCCTCTCTCGTTGGGTGCAGTTTCTCTTCATTGCCCACTGAGGTAGACTAGTGGACCTGCAGAGGGTCTGCCCACTTTCTTTCCTTTGCTATTGGCCTATATTATAGCCACCTCCTCCTCTTCCACCCTCCTGCCTTCATTCTTTTCTTCTTCCTGTGCCAGGGATTAAAGTCTGGTGAGTTCATCTTGGATACTAAAACCCCACTGAGAACTGGACTCCAGGGTCCTCCAAAGCCCCTTTTGAGAAGATGAGTTTCAGCCTCCCTTGCCCTGCTGAAGCTCTGGGCTAGGGACCAGCTCGGCCACAAAAGGCCTGCTTATCTTTCCTCACCTGTTTCTGCATTATCGCTACTGAAATCCCCAGGTTGGCAGGAACAAATGGCCTGGACTGGCAAGGTGGTTACTGGGGTCCTCTTTAAGCACAGGTTTTGATTCTTTTTTTTGTTTTTGAGTCTGGGTCTTGCTCTGTCACTCAGGCTGGAATGCAGTGGCAGGCGTGAGCATGGCTCACTACAGCTCGACTTCTGGGGCTCAGCAATTCTCCTACCTCAGGCTCCTGAGTAGCTGGGACCAAAGACGTGCACGACCATGTCAAGCTAATTTTTATGATTTTGATAGAGACAGGATTTCCCCATATTGCCCAGGCTGATCTCAAACTCCTGAGCTCAAGCAGTTCACCCACGTCAGCCTCCCGAAGTGCTGGGATTATAGGCATGACCACCACACCAAGCCCACAGGTGTCACTTCTGCCTTTCCATTAATAGTCAGTTTTCTGAATGCCAGTTGCTTCTAGCATAGTGTCTGCTCTAGAGAACCCCTCAGGAACCAAGGCCCATCTTTCTGTGTTATTCTACTCTACACCTAAGTTGCTGTGATGGAGCCATGTGGTCAGAGTCAGGGTTCCCACTGCACTTTCTGCAGTGCTCCCAGAACTCAATATGTGTACTGGGAAGGGCTTGCTGTCGTGCAGCCTCTTTTGGGGCCAGCTTCTGCTTTTGCTCCCATCTTTGCAGTACAGGGGGTAAATTAAACAAGAGAATGCCTGAACGAAGGATATCCTGGGTTCTTGAGAGACAAGTGGGAGCTGATAATTCTGAAAATTCATTAGTCAAAGCATGGAGATAAAGGTGGCAGCAGGAAGGGGAGAGGCAAGGAGTAGACCCGTGACAGTTTTAGAATCTTATTTGTGCCAAAGTACTTTACTGCATTGGCTTGGACCTCTAGAACAATGTTGAATTGTTAACCATGATAGCATTGTATCCTAGTCTAATTCCTTAATTGAATGGCTAGTCTTACCATTAAGAATGCTGTTTGCGGCCGGGCGCGGTGGCTCAAGCCTGTAATCCCAGCACTTTGGGAGGCCGAGGCGGGTGGATCACGAGGTCAGGAGATCGAGACCATCCTGGCTAACATGGTGAAACCCCGTCTCTACTAAAAAAAAATACAAAAAACTAGCCGGGCGTGGTGGCGGGTGCCTGTAGTCTCAGCTACTTGGGAGGCTGAGGCGGGAGAATGGCATGAACCCGGGAGGCGGAGCTTGCAGTGAGCCGAGATCACGCCACTGCACTCCAGCCTGGGAGAGTGAGACTCTGTCTCAAAAAAAAAAAAAAAAAAGAATGCTGTTTGCAGCTGGGCATGGTGGCGCACACCTGTAATCCCATCACTTTGGGAGGCCGAGGCAGGTGGATCACTTGAATTCAGGAGTTGAGACCAGCCTGGCCAACATGGTGAAACCCCGTCTCTACCAAAAATACAAAAGTTAGCCATGCCTGGTGGCGGGCGCCTGTAATCTCAGCTGCTCTGGAGGCTGAGGCAAGAAAATCGCCTAAACCTGAGAGGCAGAGGTTGCAGTGAGTCGAGATCGCACCACTGCACTCCAGCCTGGGCAACACAGCGAGACTCCATCTCAAAAAAAAAAAAAATGCTATTTGCTATGATTTTTGGATGATATCTTTATAATATTAAGGGATGTCCCTTCCTTGGATTTTGCTTTTTAAAGGAAAGGTAACATCTAAGATAAGCCTTTGAAATCTTGAAATTCAGAGTGCTTTGGGATTTATAGAGAGCTGTACAGAGCATTGGTGATTGTTATTCCTTGAGTTCTTAAAACGTAACCCAGGCCTGGGCCCTTCCTTCCTCTGTGCCCAACTCTCATCCTCTGTGGTTTGTGGTTTCAGTTGTTGCCTTGTCCGTCAAGATCCGCAGTTATGAAGAACACATGCAGAAACATCGAAAGGTAAACTCTGGGCGTCATTCGCAGTTAAACAGCAGCAGCCTGGGGGAAAGGGGTCTGGAGGGGAAGGGCTCTGGGTCCAGAGAAGGAGGCTTAGAAGCCAGTGGGCTGTAGCACCAGAGTGCCCACCCCTCAGCTCCTGTGGGAAAAATGCTTCCCTCCTGCCTTCAGAGGACTTGGAGCCTTACAAGACCATGCTGAGTGTCACCAGCGGTTAAGAACACAAACTTTAGAGCATGTTCAGTATGTCTGGCACATGCTGAGTGCTCAGTAAATATTTGTTGAATGCACGAATGGAGTCAGATTGCCCTGGGTTCAAATCCCAGCTCTGCCACTTGCACTTAACTAGCTGTGTGATGTTAGCCAGGTCTCAGCCTCAGTTCTCTTTTCAGTAAGATGGAGATCATACGAATACCTGCTCACAGGATTGCAAGGATTATGTGAAATCATAGTAATAGCCAATGTGATGCATATAAAGTCTTCAGGCCCTGTGCTAAATACTTCACATGCATGCATCTTCTTCTTTGACTCTCATGACTGTCTTTCTTTCCCGTCTTAATGAGGAATAATCTAGTCATGGAGTGATTAAGTTATTCCTCAAGGTAGACCCGCTGGGAGGTGATGTGTTGAGACCTTGAAACAAGGCAGTTTTGCTCCGAGGCTCATATTCTTTTTTTTTTTGAGACGGAGCCGCGCTCTGTCACCCAGGCTGGAGTGTAGTGGTGTGATCTCGGCTCACTGCAACCTCCGCCTCCCAGGTTCAAGCAATTCTCCTGTCTCAGCCTCCTGAGTAGCTGGGACTACAGGCACGTGCTACCACGCCGAGCTAATTTTTTGTATTGTTAGTAGAGATAGAGTTTCACCTGTTAGCCAGAATAGTCCCGATCTCCTGACCTCATGATTTGCCCGCCTCAGCCTCCCAAAGTGCTGGGATTACAGGCGTGAGCCACCGTCCCCAGCCATATTCTTAACCATTATACCATATCTCAGCACAGTGTCTGGCACAAAGCTGCTGTAATTAGGCAAATGTTGTTATTTTCTTTTTCTTTTTTCTTTTTCTTTTTTTTTTTTGAGACCTCAAAAAAAAAAGAGTCTCACTCTGCCACCCAGGTTGGAGTGCAGTGGTGCCATCTCGGCTCACTGCAAGCTCCGCCTCCCGGGTTCATGCCATTCTCCTGCCTCAACCTCCTGAGTAGCTGGAAGTACAGGCGCCCACCACCACGCCCGGCTAATTTTTTGTAGAGACGGGGTTTCACCGTGTTAGCCAGGATGGTCTCAATCTCCTGACCTCGTGATCCACCTGCCTCACCTCCCAAAGTGCTGGGATTACAGGCCTGAGCCACCGCGCCCGGCCAATGCTGTTATTTTTAATAAACACATGATTGTGAATACAGACTAGTCCAGCACCATGCCTGGCACTTCAGTGTTCCCTGGAGCCTGCTTCTTAGAGATCACAGTTTCGCTTATTTGGGGTGTGGAACAGCAGTCCTGTTGCAGAAGTCCCTCACAGGGCAGCAGCCAGCTGTGGGTAGGCATTTCCAGGAAGAGCACAAGGCCTCCCTTCCTCTCTACCCCAGCTGACAGTTTGCTAAGCTGTGGAGAGTCTGAGTGGGTGGTGTAGGAGAAAGAGCATGAGATTTGAAGTCAGACCAATAGATAGAGATTCAAGACCCTATCTCAGCACTCACAGTTCTAAGGACCTTTTGTGAATCAGATCACATCTTTAAACCTTTGTTTTCTCATCTGTAAAATGGGAATAACATGACAATACCTCCCTCAGAATTGCATTAATATTTGCATAAGATTACTGAGAAATTTCAATGAAATGATAAAATGACCATTGTTTGTTAATGTAAACAATAGTAACACTTATATAATACTAAAAGTAATGCGAATCTCTTACAGGACAAAGCCCACAAACGCTATCTGCTGATGAGCATTGACCAGAGGAAAAAGATGCTCAAAAACCTCCGTAACACCAACTATGATGTCTTTGAGAAGATCTGCAGGGAGCTGGGGATTGAGTACACCTTCCCCCCTCTGTATTACCGAAGAGCCCACCGCCGATTCGTGACCAAGAAGGCTCTGTGCATTCGGGTATGAGTCAGAATTGCTGCTTTGCTTGGCCCCACTCAGGAACTGGGATGGAGGAAGCAGACGGGAGGGGTCATCTGTTTCTGTTAGAGGCATGGAACTGGTCCCAGGCCCTGGAATGGATCCAGGGAGGTCACAGGAGGCCACCAACCCCATGGAGAAAGGCTGGGGTTACCATCTGGGGGAGATAGTTCCCACCCCACCTGTTCCAAGTCTGAGGTTTTGCACAAGATTACAAGGTCTTTTTCTGCCCCTTTTCACCCCCAGGTTTTCCAGGAGACTCAAAAGCTGAAGAAGGAAAAAAGAGCCTTAAAGGCTGCAGCAGCAGCCCAAAAACAAGCAAAGCAGAGGAGCCCAGACAGCCCTGCCAACACTGGACCAGAGACACTCAAAGACAGCCAATAAATTCTGTTTAATCATTTCTGTCTGTCTTGAAGAATGATAGGAGAGATGATGGGGCTCTTTTTGGCCTGAGGAGGAGGAGGAATTTATTCTTTCATTCAGCTCTGAGATCCCAGAGTTGTCTGAGGCAGAGTCCCTGCCTCACCCACCAGAGGACACACACTCATGACATGCTTCCCACATACTCATACAAACAAGTACCTGTCATCCAGGTGACGTGTGTCAGTGAGGCAAGACAGAGCACGTGACAGCAAAATGGAAGTGTGGCCGGCTGGGTGGGAAGAACTGCTGTAGGAGCTGCCTTCTGGACTGGGTCCTAAAGGATGAGTAGGAGTTCACTATATAGAGACAGAAAGGGAAGGCCTCCTGGGCAGAAGGAATTGCAAGTACAAAGGCAAGGAAGTCTAGAGAGACATGCTGTATTCAGAGAACGGGGAGAATGAGAAATAAACCTTGAAAGGTAAGCTGAAGCTGAGGTGTGAGAGGCTTTATATGGTAAGCTGAGAAGATTGTACACTGTCCACTAGGAAGTGAGGAGACAGTTCAAGTTTTAAAACTGAAGGAGTGATGGTAGTAACACGTCTGTGTTTTAGATAGTTAAGCAACAGCTGTGTGGAAGGTAGGAGGAGAGATCACAGCAGTGTACTGGGGCTGGGGGATATCAGTGTTCACATAGAGAATCTGATCAAAACTACAAGTCCTATCCCCAGGAAACTGTACATATGCAAAGCATTGCTTATAAATTCTAGGGAGTTACAGATAACCTCTTCCCCATAAAGCCCATCCATTTATACCAGTTAAGTGCCAACGCCTTGAAGCCTGAGCATGCTTGGTATGTCTGAAGAACCTAAGGAAGACAGTGTGTCTAAAACAGAACAAAGAGAATAGAAGACAAGATCAGAGGGGTGGGTAAATACCAGGTGATGTAGAGCTTTCTGGGTGTCTCAGCCTGCCATAACAAAATACTACAGGTGACTTCAGAGGATTTTTATCGAGTTCATTTTTTCACCGTTCTGGAGGCCGGGGATTCTAAGATCAGAGTACCAGCCAATTCAATTTCAGGTGAGGACTCTTCCTAGCTTGGAAAGGGCACCTTCTCAATGTCATCACATGGCCTTTCCCTTGGTCCATGCACTGGGGAGAGCTCACCCTCTTACAAGGCCACTGATCCCGTCTTGAGGGCTGTACTCATGACCTTATCTAACCCTAGTTAACTCTGAGAAGCCCCATCTCTAAATACTGTAACATTGGAGTTAGGGCTTCAACATATGAATTTGGTGGGGGACACATTCGGCCCATAACACTGGAGAAATATGTTGGACCTCACTCTGGGAAGGGAAGCCACTGAGGAAAGCCAAAAGGAGAAAGGTGTGTTAAAGTGCTATCCAAAGAGTAGTTGGAAGATTAGGTCTAGGACTCAGTAGAGAGGTCTGGACTGGTTTGCGAGTTGTTGGGTGGTTGAACCCATGGGTATAAGTGAAACTACAGGGATGGAGTGTATAAGAAAAAAGGGCCATGTCTGGATGAGAAGGATGATCCCTGAGAGCTTAGCCTAAGAAGGAGCAGCTGAGCTGGAGGAGAAGGTGAAGTAGGGGTAGAACAGAGCCTGGGTGTCTGCAGAAGCAGAAATGAGAGGCTCAGAACTGAAGATCCACTATTCAGATATCACTTCCAGGAATTGTAGGGAAGGCCTTTAATGGGGCAGGACTTCCAAGTGGCCACGGCTGCTTGGAGGTACTGTGTCAGAGGGCCAGGTGCTAACAGTTAAGGGGGCTAGCCCAGGGAAAGGAAAGAAAAAGGAACACGTTTTAATGGATCAGGCCCTACTACAAAGGCATTTGTGTGTTTCTGTTGGTTTGGCTGGTTGTTTTTTTAGAGACAGGCTCTTGCTCTGTTGCCCCGACTGCAGTACAGTAGCGATCATAGTTCACTAACTTCAAATTCTTGGGCTCAAGCAATCCTCTTGCCTCCTCCTAAGTAGCCAGGACTATAGGTGTAAGCTAACTGCGCTCAGCTAATTTTTTTATTTTTTTGTAAAGACAGGGTCTCACTATGTTGCCCAGGTTACCCAAACTCCTGGCCTCAAGCAATCCTCTTGCCTCCTCCTAAGTAGCCAGGACTATAGGTGTAAGCTAACTGCGCTCGGCTAATTTTTTTATTTTTTTGTAAAGACAGGGTCTCACTATGTTGCCCAGGTTACCCAAACTCCTGGCCTCAAGCAATCCTTGGCCTCCCAAATGCCTTGGCTTCCCAGAGTGCTGGGATTACAAGTGTGAGCCGCTGCATCTGGTCAAAAGGCATTGTTTTAACTGCTGCCTTAAGCACATTATCTAATATTCACAGCCACCTTTACTCTGCACGCTGGCTAATTATCCTCATTTTAGCCATGAGAGATGAGTCATGAGAGAACTGAGACTCAGAGAGGTTAGGTAACTTGTCCAAATTCCTATAGCTGGGAATAGAAAGGTCTAGGATTCAAAGCTGGCTCTGTCTTTACTCCAGAGCCTATATCCTGTTCAGTATACCACACTGCTTAGGGACCAAGAAAAAGGTCTGAGAAGCAAAGGGAAGCGTCTACACTATAGCAAACTCAAATGCTTTTAGGAGCAAGGCAGGTAACAAAAATGCATGAAGGCCTAACATGAAGTAATGATGCTAAGGTGTTTATTACATTCCTATCCTAGTTGTATTCCCTTTTATTTATTTATTTTTATTTTTTTGAGACAGAGTTTTTGCTCTGTCCTCCAGCCTGGAGTGCAGTTGTGCAATCTCGGCTCACTGCAACCTCCCCATCCCACGTTCAAGCAATTCTCCTGCCTCAGCCTCCACAGTAGCTAGGTTTACAGGTGTGCGCCACCACACCTGGCAAAGTAGAGACGGTGTTTCACCATGTTAGCCAGGCTAGTCTTGAACTCCTGTCTTGAACTCCTGACCTCAAGTGATCCGCCGGCCTTGGCCTCCCAAAGTGCAGGGATTACAGGCGTGAGCCACTGCACCTGGCCTGTATTCCCTTTTAAAACAGAGCACAGAGCAGGCAAAATAACCAAATTAAACAAAGCCCTGGGCCGCCAGCAATGGGATACTGTATAATCCTGATGCTGAGATATCAGTTAAGGGAGGACCAAAAAGTATTCATGGTGAAGCAGTTTCAGTGAGGTTCAGGGAGCATAATACCAGTTGCAATGAGGTGGGGAGTGAGGATGTTAAGGAAGTTCCAGTTGTGAGTGTTGTCAACTCGTTCAAAACACTTCACTGGGAAGGAAAGGAAGGAAAACAGACTAGCAGAGATATGAGATGGAAGGAGAATGTTAATATAGGAAGGACTTGAGCTCAGTTATGGCAGGGCAAGACTTTCCAGTGGTGTGGTTATGAGGAAGAGGCAGCCTGCTGATGAGTTCAACTGGACTGGGGGCGAGGAGGTGGCCAGGTGCAAGAGATGGCTCTAAAAACGTAGTTGGCCGGGTATAGTGGCTGTAACCTGAAATCCCAACAACTAAGGAGTCTGAGGTGGGAGAATCACTTGAGGCCAGGAGTTCTAGGTTGCAGTGAGCCACCAGGGTGCCACTGCATTCCAACCTTGGGCAGCAAAGTAAGACCCCCATCTTTTAAAAGAAAAAAAAAAAAGGTAGCTAGAGCCAGTGGAGAGCCTGGAATGCCATGCCAAGGCATCAAGACTATGATCTGGCAAACAGTAGGAAACCACTGAAAGGATGTGTCATGTTGAAAGTGATGTTGGCCGGGCACGGTGGCTCATGCCTGTAATCCCAACACTTTGGGAAGCTGAGGCGGGCAGATCACCTGGGGTCAGGAGTTCGAGACTAGTCTGGTCAACATGGTTAAACCCCATCTCTACTAAAAATACAAAATTAGCGGGCATGGTGGCCTAGCCCATGCCTGTAATCCCAGCTTACTCAGGAGGCTGAGGTAGAAGAATCGCTTGAAACCAGGAGGCGGAGGTTGCAGCGAGCCGAGATCGTGCCATTGCACACCAGCCTGGGCAACAAGAGTGAAACTCTGTCTCAAAAAAAAAAAAAAAAAAAAAAAAGTGATGTCTTCTGACATCTAGCTTAGCAGCCAGTGCAGGGTAGAAAAGAGAAAAGAACAGTAATACAGAGGAACATAGCAATACAGACAGAAAAACAAATGAAGGGATGAATGAAAAAAAGGTATTGAAGGAAAAAGCATAATATGATGACTGGTAAGGACCCAGGGAAACAGATTTGAAAGCCAAGGCCCAAGTTTCAAGTTTGAGTAGCTGGAGGTTCCGAAAGATAATTAGTAGGTTTTGGAAGTACTGAAACTTACAGAAATGGTTGTTCATCAGAGTACAAATGTACAGCAGATGGCAAAAAGTAATCCTGGAGCTCAAGATGAAGGTGAAGAAGGGAGTCGCTGCCCTCAAAGAGAAATGGTTGGGCCGGGCGTGATAGCTCACGTCGAGGCGGGCAGATCACTTGAGGTCTGGAGTTCCAGACCAGCCTAGCCAACATGGTGAAACCTCGTGTCTACTGAAAATACAAAAATTAGCCGAGCATGGTGGCGGGCGCCTGTAATCCCAGCTACTAGAGAGGCTGAGGCAGGAGAATCGTTTGAACCCTGAAGGGCGGAAGTTGCAATGAGCCAAGATCGCGCCACTGCACTCCAGCCTGGGCGACAAAAACGAAGCTCCGTATCAAAAAAAAAAAAAAAAAGAAAAGAAAAGAAAAAAGGAAAGAAAAGAAAAAAAGAAATGGTTGGGAGGCCTTCCGAACAGCGTTGAGAAGGGAACTTCACAGAGCCCCCAGGGCGCATCCTCTGGGAGCCGGACACACGGGGACGGACGGGACCGGTTTGCTTCATGGAGTATGAAACCACGAGGGGCTTCACTTCAAGTAAACTTTTGGGAGGCGATGCAAACGACTCAGGACTTCTGATCCTTCCCCCATCTAAAAGAAAAGTCAGTTACCATTTTTACTGAGTGCTTTCGGGGCCTTTCCACGATCTCACTGATTCCTCTCAGTCGCCCTGTGATGTGAATGCCAGCTCCATGTTACATAAGAGGAAGCCAAGGCTCAAACCCTGCCCGAAGTCACACAGCAAGACATCATGAGCCGTGATTCCAACCCAGGTCCGTCTGACCCGAGTCTGCTCTAATGCCCTTCTGCCTGGGCTTTTCTCTCCTGTAGGCACCTGAGGCCCCGCGCCAGCGGCCGGGGTCCGGAGCTCCGGGCTGGCTGTGTCAACACCACCCCCAGACCATGGCCCGGCCCGGCCCTCGCCCTTCCGAGGGAAACACCTAGTCTCAGAAGCACAGCTCTCCAGCCACGGCCAACGCCCCCTCGGGAGGGTCCGCCACCCAGACCAATTAGCGCCCGACCTCAGGGCACCTCCCACCAAACCGCCTTCTGATTGGCTAGCTTTTCCCGTTGCGGCGTTGCCCCAGCAACCAGACTATTGGGACGCTGCGGCCTGGCCTCCAGGCCACTGGCTACCTAGCCCCGGGGCTCTTCACCAGCCCCGCTCGTTTCCAGCACTATGTCGGTGCGGACGCTACCGCTGCTCTTCTTGAACTTGGGCGGGGAGATGCTTTACATCCTGGACCAACGGCTGCGGGCCCAGAACATCCCGGGAGACAAGGCCCGCAAAGGTGAGAGGCCCCCGGCCCGCTCCGCCAGACCCGCAGCCCGCAGCCCCGCCCTCTCATCATCGCCCTAACACCCACAGCCAGACCCGCACTCCTACACACTTCACTCTTATAACCAGGGACCTTTCTTACAAGCCACATCCATTTGGAGCCCCTCAGGAGTCAAATCCCCCAAAAGCTCTTTTCACAGCAGAAGAGCTTAATACTCCCAATGGACACTAGGGTACCTGATCTACCTAATTTCCCCATTTCTTCAAATGGGAGAGGTGATTTCCCGGTATCTCTTGTCAATCAGTCCCTTCCAAATGTAGGAGTCCCAGCTGCCCACCATCTGGTATCATACCCCTTGCTAGACCAAGCGTCCTCTTTACTCCCAAGGAACAGGTTCTGATTCTTTTTTTTTTTTTTTTTTTTTTGAGACAGAGTCTCGCTCTGTCGCCCAGGCTGGAGCGTGTGGCACGATCTCGGCTCACTGCAACCTCTGCCTCCTGGGTTCCAGCGATTCTCGTGCCTCAGCCTCCCAAGTAGCTGGGATTATAGGCATGCACCACCACGCCCAGCTAATTTTTGTATTTTTAGTAGAGATGGGTTTCACCATGTTTCCCAGGCTGGTCTCGAATTCCTGGACTCAAGTGATCCGCCTGCCTCGGCCTCCCGAAGTACTGAGATTACAGGCATGAGCCACCGCGCCCGGCCCAGGTTCTGATTCTTCATTCCTTTATGGTAGTATCTTACCACATAAGCTAGAGATTGGTCTTACTCATCTCAGAAGTACTTCTAGAAATTTAGGATTCTAAAATAATATAGAAAAATATGAAAAAAATAAGAAAGTTATAACTCTCTCAAGTGTTGGAGGGGAATACAATTGTGAAAATAATATGAGAGCTTCAAAAATGCAAAATCTGGCTCCTATGGACACCACACTAATCCCCAGAAAAATGACGACTCAGAACACTCTGCCACTCTGTTCTTTTTCCTCTTTTCCTCCCTTCTCGGCAAACAACTTGCTTATACCAAATTTCCTAGGATTAATTATGAAGGAAATATTATATTTCAAAGTAGAGGAGGAAAAGTTGAAAAGGCAATTGATATGGCCGCCAGTTAAAACATTCTCTCCATTAATCTTTGTATGCTCAATTGATGTTCAACATACATATTCAGATGCTAAGCATACATGTTCAGATATTAACTATTGTGTGTATGTGACTGAGTCCAAGTCCATGCATAAAAGCTAAAAATAACTCCCTATAACATACCCCCCCATTCATTCTGCACATTGCTGCCAGTGAGTTTTCTAAAATGCGTATCTGTCCATGCTTGCCCCTGCCTAAAACCCTTTGTCAACTTTCCACTGCCGTCTGGGTTAAGACCTTTTTGCACAGGCCATTTCAGGGCCCTTCCTGATCTGATGTCTGTCTTCCTCTGCAGTCCCTTCTTCTACCACTGCCTGCCTCCTGTTTCCCAGTAATACCAAACGGCTCATAGATCTCCGCTTAAACCATGTTTGTTCGTGTTTCTGTGCTAGTAATTCCCATCCCTACATTCTTCCCCTTCGATCTTGCATTATTCGGCTTAAGAATCATCTCCTTCAGGAAGCCCCCCCATATGCAGAAAGGGCCTGCGCATGCTCTCATAGCACCCTATGCTCCCATAGCACCCCATGCCTGCTCCTTGCTAGCTTATCACTGGCCATACTATACTGAAATGATCTGTGTATATGTCTGTCTCCTGCTTGATTGTCTTATTCATCTTTGTACTCCAGCACCTACCATAATTCCTAGACCAGAATAAATTAGTGATCAATAAATGTTTGTTGAACTGATTATCTAAATTCGCAGTTTTATGTAGCATTGTTATTTTTTCTGTGAGAGGGTTCTCTTTTCCTTGGTGCCTGTGTGATCAGATTTCATTCAGGCTAGTGGCACCAATGAGGTGACATGCTGGAGTCCTCAGACTGGTAGGTAGTCTGCATCTTGGAAGATAGCGTAAATTAGCAATTAAGAACATACTCTCTGGAGTCTTACAGACCTGGGTCCCAATTCCAGCTTTACCGTTTAACTAATTGCACAACCTTCGGGTGTAACCTCTATAAACCTGTTTCTCCATAAAATGGTAATAATATATATACCTTAAAGCAAAGTTGTAAGAATTGAATGAAATAATGTACTTATTATGTTTACACAATGAGTAATAGGTATCTTTCAACAGGAAGTCTGAGCAAGGCCCTCTGAATACTAGGGGACAGCTTTACCTTTAGGAGTTATAGCCTTTATTCTGGTTTTGCTAAATATGATTTTAGGGAGTTTCGACCATCTTTAGTAATTTACATTCGCACACTCATTCATTCCACAGATTTTGACTGAGTGTCAAACACTATGTGAGCTACTGTATGGAGCCTGATGCAGCCCTTCTGGACATTCACTGGAGGTAGGGCTATTGATCAGTCCACTCCAGTAACTGATTCCAGTGACAACAATCAACAATAAAACAATGAAAAATCAAGCACTTACTTTGTACCAAGGGCTTCTCTTAAAAACCTTAATCCTCCCAACTATTGTAACACATATGTAATATTACTATCCCCATTTTACTGATGGAGAAACTAAGACTAATTTGCCCAGAGTTACATGGCTGATAAGAGGAAAAGTAAAGGATCTGAGCCCAAGGCATCAGGCTCCAAAGCTCATACTGAGCCAATGTCCCCTTAACCACCACTCTACTCTGCTGCCATACCTTGGGGACTATATCAGAATCTTTGTGGGGTTGGTAGGTCAGGAGGAGAGGGAGGAGTTTGAAAAATATATATCCAATATACCCACTGATTTTTATCAAAGCAACGACAAAGTAGTTGGCAGCTGGACATCTGTAGAAGATAGAGTGAGAAAACAGGGTAGAGAGCATAGGATTCAAAGGACTGAGAAACACTCATGTCTTCCACCTATTCCACCATTTAAAGTTGGTGTGGCTGCAGGAGCGGGAGCCCCTGTAACATATCCCTGTACACAGGAGCCTATAAAACATAGACTTGGTAAACTAGTCCTCTTCGAAGCTTTGAATGGAAATCATATTTCTTCTAGATGTTTTCATTATCTTATATGACTAATTGGTCTCCTGGAGGCCTTCCCAGTTCCCACAAGGCCAAGGCAGATGTTGCAGCTTCCCCTACAATGCAGCCTCTAGTTTAGCATTCAACAGAAAGGAAGTGCTCTCTCTATGGGGCAACTATTGAGTGTTGCATATTGAATGTAGTCTCCTGTTTTAAGCAATGGCGAGAATAATAAAAGCTACCTTTGCCTCTTAAAAATATTGATAAATAAGACCTTATTATATTTTGCTTAAATTCCTCATTTTACAGGAGAGGAAACTGAGGCATGTGGCCACAAAGTGATTTTTCCAAGACAGGTCAATCACAGTGTAGCAGGAGCAACCAAAGGGCAATGAGACTCTGGTTTTATTTTTCTAGTTCCAGTTTAACGACTAGCTCTGAATAACCGTGGGCCTGCCCCACTCAAAATAGAACTAAAGTGGAGTTGTCACAAATAAGTCATCTGGAGAAATAATAGAAAAAGAGGGTGTTTCTCTTCTCTGGATTCTCAGGAAGAAAGGAGTGGGGGAGCACACAGCACTACAGAGACCCCTGCTGGCGCTCAGCCTGCTTGCCTTTGGGAGCATCTGCCAGTTCAATTTTATCAGCGAGAGTCACTGCCCTTCAGAGATGACCCCCTTGCGGCACCACTGTTCCCAAACACACCTGCAAGGGGATTAAAACGCCACCTCCTTGAATTCCCACAAGTCTGTGCCACTAGACAACCAGTTAAATAAATGCTGCAGAGGCCAGGTGCAGTGGCTCACGCCTATATTCCCAGCATTTTTGGACCCCGAGGTGGGGGGGATCACCTGAGGTCAGGAGTTCGAGACCAACCTGGCCAACATGGTGAAAACCCATCTCCACCAAAAATACGAAAACTACCCGGTCGTGGTGACAGATGCCTGTAATCCCAGCTACTCAGGAGGCGGAGGCAGGAGAATCCCTTGAACCTGGGAGGCAGAGGTTGCAGTGAGCCGATATCACGCCACTGTACTCCAGCCTGGGCAACAAAGCAAGTCTCCCTCTCAAAATAAACAGATAAAAAATAAATGCCACAGAAAGATAGATGTGGACATTGTGCCAAAGAAAACAGTATCTGCCAAACTCTTGGTGCTGCTCTCCCAATATTGTCTTTTCAAAAGCCCATGACTCTTGGTGGGGAAGATGGTGAATTTTCCCAGAGGAGTGTGATCTTGCAATGAACACACTTTGCAGCTGGTTAGGATATGGCACTGGGCATGCTTTCAGACTGCTCTCTTGGGAGCTGTTGGTGTTATGTATTGAAGCCATGTATATGCTTTAATTATAACTTCAGAAATCACCCCTCGTACCACAATCTAGTGGCAAATGTTTCCAAAAGAAACTATGAATTACAAAATGGTTTTGGGTTTTTTGTTTGTTTGTTTGTTTTTGTTTTTGTTTTTTGAGACGGAGTGTTGCTCTGTCGCCCAGGCTGGAGTGCAGTGGCGCAATCTCCACTCACTGCAACCTTCACCTCCTGGGTTCAAGCAATCCTCCTGCTTCAGCCTCCCAAGTAGCTGGTACTATAGGCATGCACCACCACACCCGGCTAATTTTTGTATTTTTTGTAGAGATGGGGTTTCACCATGTTGACCAGGCTGGTCTCGAACTCCTGACCTCAGGTGATCCACCCACCTTGGCCTCCCAAAGTTCTGGGATTACAGGCATGAGCCACTGTGCCTGGCCAAAATGTTTTAAAAATACAGATGTGTATAGAACTTTTGTATCTGGGGGTGGTTCTGCTAGATTGAAATCCCCACCAAAAATTAAGGAAAGAAAAAAAGTCATCTTCCATCCTTTATGGGTATTGTCTAATGTCCCTCAGTAGAGGAAACAGAACTTGAAGGGAAGCCAGCTAAGCATTTGATGTGTGTTATGCATTTATCCCCACAATAGGCCTGTGAGGTAGGTACTATTGTGATCCCTATTTTACAAATGAAACTGAGGTTAAACAAGTTGCTTGAAGTTTATGTAGCCAGTAAGTAGAACCAGGTTTCAACCAGTAGAGCCTTGATTCTCACCAATTTCTCTAGCCAACTGCATTTTTCCTTATTTGGTCTCCTCTTGGGATCTCCCCAACTGCCTTTGTCCTCAGAAGCTTTCTTCATAGTGGTCCCATCATTATTCCCTTCTTTTTACATGGAAATCATGCATCTATATATATATATATATATAAAGTAAAACAGAAACAAATGCTGACATTTTCCTTTTAATTCACATTTCAAGTTTTCTAATTTGAGCAGTTCCATCTGTCCTCTAGAAAGGGAAATCTTACATTAATAAAAAAAAAAAAAAAGAAGAAGAAGAAGAAAAGAAACTTCAGATTGTACACAGAGAAACTCTTTTCTCTGCCTGTTCTTGGAATTATTCTTCCTCATGGAGGCTAGCATCTTTAAAAGCCTGCTACTGATGATATGTATTCTTGTAGCATTAGAGAGCGGGGCTTCTTAGGCCTTTCAAGATGAACCACAGGATAACTAATCCTCCTCCGTTTACTCTCTTCTTAGGCCACTCTCCGTAAGACATAGCCTTTCTTGGGCTTTTTTGAAATGTGTTGTTATCCATCATCCTTTTAAAGGTTTCAAATAGAAGGCAGTATGTTCACAGTAGACTTAAATGCCAACATGAAAAGTAAAGTTTCATAGATAAGATCATTGGAATTGGTATGTTTAAAACCTCCTCGAAAATAATGTTCTTGCTTCATGAACTGGTGTTTTCTTTTTGTATGCTTCATGTAGATGAATGGACAGAGGTGGACAGAAAACGAGGTATGCTATCTCTGGGCTGCATGTGTTCAGTGTGCATCCACAGGTTCACTCAGGCCTTTATCAGCAGGGCTTAAAGTGGGACCGCTTGAAACATTTCAAAGTCAAAGTAAGAAAATAGGCATGAGTTTGTCTTTAGCTGAGATATTGGTTATACATTTGAATCTTTTACTTAAGAGGAATAAATACAGCACGTAAGATGGAAACTAAGCAAACTCTGACCAAAAAGCCATACTGTACCTGAGGGATCTGTCTCCTTTTCTCAGTTCCAAACTTTGCAGGGACAGCTGGGGCAATAGCTATACTTTTGGGTACGTCATACTATTTGATAGTCCTTAAAACGACTTTGTTAAAGTGTCATGTAACCAAAGAATTGTGCTTCAACATGAGTGACCCTCCCTGAGCCATTCTCCTAAGCTCACAGAGCAACCAAGAAAAATTGAAGCATGTAACTGCATGGCTGCCAGGACTGTGGGCAGAAGGCATGACATCATGCATGCAGTGTGGCCTCATCATGCAAAAGCTTCAGTTTCCCCTTACCTACTATAAGCAGCAAACCTGAAAAAGTTGTCAACTCCTCAGAATAAAGCCTTAGACTTTCTCAGCCTTTAAATATCTCAGGTACCTTCTGTCATTTGACATTTGGGTGTGGTGTGTGCCTATCATCAGCCATCCTCCTCAATATTTTAAATGCTCTCACCACACCAAGTATGCTGAGAAGATAACATATATATTTAACAGGCCAGGTGAGTGACTCATTCCCAAAGTGATTCCCAGCACTTTGGGAATCCGAGGCAGGAGGATCACTTGAGGTCAGGAGTTTGAGACCAGCCTGGCCAACATGATGAAACCCTGTGTCTACTAAAAACACAAAAATTAGCCGGGCGTGGTGGCGGGCGCTTATAATCCCAGCTACTTGGGAGGCTGAGGCAGGAGAATCACTTGAACCTGGGAGGCAGAAGTTGCAGTAAACCGAGATCATGCCACTGCACTCCAGCCTGGGCGACAGAGTGAGACTGCACTTCAAAAATAATAATAATAATAATATTTAAAAGCACAGGCATTAGATCAAACAGACCTCATTTTAATTTCAGCTCCATCACCAGCTGTGTGGCCTTGCACTTTAAACTCTCCGATTCAATTTCCCTCTTTAATAGAATGAGGATAATATAAAACGTAAGTGGTCTGGCAGGGGAAAAAAAAAAAGGAATGAGGATAATAATTCAGAGTTGTCTTGGAGTTTAAATGAGATAGTGCATATAAAGTTCTAAGCCCAGTGCCTGGGACATAGAAAGGATTCAAACATGGTAACTATTCAGGAGGGGTTTCCTAGCCTCTCTCTAAATTCTTGGCTCCAAATTTCATATTCCCATAAACAAGTCAATTTAGAGCAGAGGTAATTGGTAAAAACTTGATTGCTTTCATCAAGATAATTACTTCATCAGACCAGGCTTGAAAAAAAGCCCAATTGAAGTGCTTGATACACTTTTATTATATTTCACAACCATCCTTTGACACTTCTCCTTGAGCAATTTTTGACCCATCCTTCCCTTGATGCATGGCAGAATTTCAGATATGAAGTGTGGATTTTGAGAGCTTTTCATATACATAATTGAATCATTGAAATTTATTTTAACATAAGTGTTCAAAAATAATGAACAGAAACTGGCTTCATAATCCGAACCCAAGACGAAGCTTGCTATGTTGAGAACCCATTTACCAACTTTCTGAAGCTCCTGTGAAAGATCCCTTCCCTCCCCTGCCTTAGCCTCTTCCTGATGAAATTTGGCTCCTAGTATATTCCAGCCTCGTGAAAAGTATGCAGAACTCATTTGCATGCCAAAAACCAACACTTAGACTGATGGGTGGGTCTGATTAAAACTATTTATTCGGGGATGTTAGGATGAAGGAAAAAAAATAAAAAATACATTAATTTTTTTAAAAAAACTATTCCTCAGGTTTAACTTAAAGATGATGTGCTGCTTCTCTAGGGCCAGGATAACATCTCCTTCCTCTTTGTGCCTGTGGTGTTTATTTCAGTGTCTGGTACCTAATAGGTCTGCCTCAACCAAGGGCTGGGTGAAGCAAATTGTAAGACAAAAACACGTTAACGTGTGCCCCTATCTTATTTCCAAAGAATGAAATGAGAAGAGGGAGCCCTAGGTGTCCTGGCCCAACCATTAAACTGCCATTTCCTCTTTGGGGGCATTTGTACTCACTGTTCTGCCCACAAGGACAGAACCTGCAATCTCTTCCCAGCAGTTGAACTGTCTGCATGCTCTTGCACCAGGAGCCATGGTGCTCCAGAGCACTTCACTTTCCACAGGGAAAGACTTCAATTTGCTTTTCACTCTGCCCGAGTAGCTAACAATCACCTTGGGGTATTCTTTCGTCCAGAACTGATTTATCTGGGTCTAAGCTCTTTTCGGAGCTCCTAATAAGGGCTCAAAGACCCCAGAGAAATGACTCAGCACCTAGGTGAATAGTAGCTCTTTGTAAGCATTAACCTAGCCAGAGTTGATGTGATGCTTTAACTTGAATTCTTCTTCGGCACTCCTCCTCCCTGGCTTACTGTGGAAAATTCTTCATATTCTCTGTTTTGAGGACTTATATATAGCTTTTCAGTTGTGCCTGTTTCCTTGCAAATGCTGCATTTTATGTAGGCTATGGTAAGAAAAAGGTTAGAAAACCCAGTTTATTGCAGGTTCTTTCTTGTTTCAGTCCAAGGGAAGTGGTCAGGCATGAGGCAAACCTGACAGAGTTCTATGTCTCTCCGAGCTGTCCACGGTGGGGAAACGTTAGGGCACATTAAGGGCAAGCTGGGATGGTTTGAAATTGTCAGATGTCAGGGACACCCTGTGTTGGTAATCGATTTGGTTCTCCCTCACTGAGTAATAGGATCAAGTCTAGGGTAAAATCTAAAGGTCAAGTGTGAGTTTAGCATTTCTGTATGGAGCCACAGTCAGTTCATTTGTGTCACTGGCGGGGTGTGTGTTGGGAATGTATCCCCTCTCCCCTCTCTCTGTAGCTCTTCCATTTAAGTACAACCAGCCCTCAGCTCCCCCTTCCCCCATAAAATGTGTTGAAATGCTTTAAAATGCTGGCCTGAGCCCTCAGCGTACTTCTGTCAATTACTTACAGGTAGAGAGTACCTAAAATAATAATTTCACTGCTCTCCCTTGCCTCTGCTCTAAAGAGATATGGCCACAGGCAATCATCTGGAGTGTCCTTTGTGTTCAACAAAAGAAGGAGGAATTTCCATATTTCAATAATAACTGCTCATGTTTAATAAGTGATTTTGTATAATTATTTTAAGTAACCCAGTTTTCTTTCAAATTTGAATTTCTATAAGTGTATGTTCTCGGTATCCACATATGCTCACATTTAGGCCAGGATAACTGGTTTAATTAAGGATAATCTTGTTCAACCATATCTGTTCCTATTTCTCATACCTGAGGGTTTTCCTGGCCCTTAACTAGTGATGTTTCATTCAGTAGTGCAAAATATCTAGATGAATGAAGACCTAAAACTATAGACACTTTGGTTTGTACACTTCTTTCTCACCAGAGGGAAATTTTCCATTTGAACAGCAGTGTGAGATATAACTCTACACTGTAGTATCAAGATTATGGATCAAATGTGGAAATTAAGGCATTCAAAAATGGTGCTATTCAAAGTACATGTCTTACAGCAACACTGCAAGTGTTTTCACCTCTAACCAGTGGGCAGACTTGTCTGTTTGCATCAGATGTTATTCAGAGTCAATTACCATGGTTGGCCCCATTTTTATAATATTTAATTTTAAGTAAAAATGTTTAGATTTGCTTTTAAAAATCAGATTAATTTTTATTTTTATTTTTTAGACAGGCTCTCCTTATGTGGCCTAGGTTGGAGTACAGTGGCACAATCAGAGCTCACTGCAGTATTGAATTCCTGGGCTCAAGCGATCCTCCTGCTTCAGCTTCCAGGCCCGCCACCACACCCAGCTAATTGCTTTCAATTTTTTGTAGAGGCAGGGCCTAACTGTGTTGCCCAGGCTGGTCTCAAACTCCTGGCCTCAAGTGATCCTCCAGCCTTGGCCTCCCAAAGCTCTGGGATTATAGGCGTGAGCCACCACACCCAGCCAGTAATCTTTTTTAAAGAAAGAAATATTCCTCTCATCATCAAGTGAGATAATATTTACATAAGGAGTTTATAATCTCTGAAGCACAACACATTGGTGCCTTGTCGTCATTTATGTCTGCCCTGAAATGGTGTCATAAAGCACTCTCAGAGCCCTACTTTCTACCGGGACACCTGCGTGGTCCCCTCAGGGAGCTGATCTCACCAAGCACACAGCATCCCCAATCTGTACTGTACGTGCTCGGCTCCTGTACTCATACACAAAGAGCAGTTTGGGATAGGCTTGCTTCAGTACTTTGCTCAGCTGTGTTCTCTCTTGTCTCTGCAGTTCTGAATGACATCATCTCCACCATGTTCAATAGAAAGTTTATGGAGGAATTATTCAAGCCTCAAGAGCTCTACTCCAAGAAGGCCCTGAGGACTGTCTATGAGCGCCTGGCTCATGCCTCCATTATGAAACTGAACCAGGCCAGCATGGATAAGGTGAGCAGACAGCTGCCTTTGTCATCTTGATTGCATTTTTTGTACCTTTTGTGGATGATCATAGACTGGGGTCACGTGAGATGATGTATGCAGTGGTTCCTTGCAAGAAACAGGCATGTGTAAATACTAGTAGTTGTTGAGTTTCAGAGTGGGAAAGACCTCAGAAATCATCCACAACAACCCCTCTGTTGTTTATGTCGTTCCACCTGCCCAAAGAGAGTGCTGGGTTTTATTTGTTTGATTTGATTTGTTTTGTTTTGTTTTGTTTTGTTTTGTTTTTGAGACAGGGTCTCACTCTGTTGTCCAGGCTGGAGTGCAGTGGCACAATCATAGCTCACTGTGGCCTTGATTTCCCAGGCTCAGGCAATTCTCCTGCCTCAGACTCCCAAGTAGCTGGGACTACAGGCACATGCCATCACACACACTGGCTAATTTTTTTTTTTTTTTTTTTGGAGATGGAGTTTCACTCTTGTTGCCCAGACTGGAGTACAATGGCGCAATCTCGGCTCACCACAACCTCCGCCTCCCGGCCCAGCCACACTGGCTAATTTTTAAATTTTCGTAGAGATGGGGTCTCACTTTGTTGCCAGGGTTGGTCTCGAACTCCCAGGCTCAAGCAATCCTCCTGCCTCAGTCTCCCAAAGTGCTAGGATTACAGGTGTGAGCCACTGCACCCAGACAAGAGTGCTGACTTTCATGCCCATATTTATGAACCCCAGGAATACATGCCTTAACATAGTAAAAGCACTCAACCCTGACTGGGCGTGGTGGCTCACACCTGTAATCCTAGCACTTTGAGAGGCCGAGACAGGCGGATCACTTGATGTCAAGAGTTTGAGACCAGTCTGGCCAACATGGTGAAAACCCATCTCTACTAAAAATACAAAAATTAGCTGGGTGTGGTGGCACGCGCCTGTAATCCCAGCTACTCAGGAGGCTGAGGCAGGAGAATCACTTGAACTCAGGAGGCGGAGGTTACAGTGAGACAAGATCACACTGCTACACTCTAGACTGGGCAACAGAGTAGGACTTCATCTCAAAAATAAATAAATAAAATAAATAAAAAATTTTTAAAAAGCACTCAACCCTAAAACTTTAATTCTGCCTCATTCTTCACAAATCTCAGCTCTGCATTGTAGAAACCAGATATTTTTTAGAACAAGTTCAAAAGCAGTCTTTACTCATAATGTGAACATACCTATTTCTTTGGGAAACGAAGTATTGGAATGCTGTGATTTTTTAAATAATAATTCCTTCAAGAATATATCTACCTCTGAATAATAATAATAATAATAATAATTCCACATGAATAAATGGCAGAGGACAGACAAGTCTGTTTAGAAGAATTCCAAATGATTTACGTAGATACTCTGTCCTCAGGGAGGGAGAGTGTAACTCCCCCTCCTTAGGTGGGGGCTGCACTTCAAAGAGTACAGTATGGAAAGGAGGGATGAAATAATTAGCTTTACAGTAGAGAAACTTGATAAACTACCCCAACCAGATGGTCAAGGTAACGTCCACAGTGATGAGTCACGTTGCCAGTATGTACCCTGCCATGATGTGATGAAAATGGCACTTCACCTCTGTGGTCTTCCTCCCCGAAACTCCAAACCCCAGGATAACCATAAGAAAAACATCACACGAATACTGTTTGTGGGTCATGCTTAGAAAATACATGACCAGTACTCAAAACTGTCAAGGTCACCAAAATCAAGGAGAGTCAGAGAAATTTACAGCCGAGAGGAGCCCAAGGACACAGGACAGTGGAATGGAATGTGGTGTCCTGGATGGTTTTTCAGAACAGAAATAGGATGTTAGGGGGAAACTAATGAAATCTTTAAAGTTTGGTCTTTAGTTAATGTAAAATATAATTATAATTCCTTTACAACTTCCTCCATCATGTGAAAGAACTACCAGGCACAGTGTCTTGCGGCTCTAATATCAGTGCTTCGGGATTGAGGCCAGCAGTTTAACACCAGCTTGGACAACCTAGCAAGACCAGATCTCTACAAAAAAATTTTTAAAGGTCGGTGCAATGGCATATGCCTGTAATCCCAGCACTTTGGGAGGCCAAGGCAGGAGGATCGCTTCAGCCCAGGAGTTCAAGACCAGCCTTGACAACATAGCAAGACCCTGTCTCTAAAAAAATAGAGAGAAAGAAAGAAAAATTTTTAAAATCATGATGACTGATGGTGGAAGTTAGATTTGCAGAGTCAGCACTCACTTATTACTGGTACTTAGAAGACTCAGGGAGACAGACTGCCTTTAACTGTGCCCTCTTACCTCTTGCCATTTACCTTTGGAAAGTTACTTTAATTCGGCCAGGCACACTTTAATTCGGCCAGCCACTGCTCACGCCTGTAATTCCAGCATTTTGGGAGGCCGAGGCGGGCAGATCACGAGGTCAAGAGATCGAGACCATCCTGGCCAACATGGTGAAACCCCGTCTCTACTAAAAATGCAAAAAATTAGCCGGGCCGGGCAGCACATGCCTGTAATCCCAGCTACTTGGGAGGCTGAGGCAGGAGAATTGCTTGAACCTGGGAGGCGGATGTTGCAGTGAGCTGAGATCGTGCCATTGCACTCCAGCCTGGGCAAAAAGAGCGAAACTCTGTCATGAAAAAAAAAAAAAAAAAAAAAGTTACTTTAACTCTGAGCCTCCATTTTCTCATCTGTAAAATGGGGAAAATAAATGCTACTTCATCAGTTATTGGGAGGATTAAATGAGAACATACCTAGGCCTGGCATATAGCTGTTCAATAAATATTAATTATCTTTTCAGTTCTGCTTGCTTTTCTCTCTCTGCCTTTAAAAAAGTTTAGAGACTGAGCACAGTAGCTCACACCTGTAATCCCAGCACTTTGAGAGGCACAGGTGGAAGAATCACTTGAACCTGGGAGTTCAAGACCAGCCTGGGCAACATAGCAAAAAACCATCTCTAATATTTTCTAACATATTAGTAAAAACCCTAGTGAGACCTCATCTCTACTAAAAGTTGGAAGAACTAGCTGGGCACAGTGGCACACAGCTGTAGTCCCAGCTGCTCAGGAGGCTGAGACGGGAGGATAGCTTGAGCAGAGGAGGTTGAGGCTTCAGTGAACTGTGTTCATGCCACTGTACTCCAGCCTGGGTAACAGAGTGAGACGCCTATGTCAAAAATAAAAAAAAGAAAAGAAGAGGAAGTTTAAATGTCCGTAGAGGAAGGACACAGAACTTAGAATCAAAAACCCTGAGTTTAAGCCTTAGCTCTACCAGTTACTAGCTGTGAGACCCAATCTACTGAATTACTCTGAACTGTCATTCCTTCCTCTTGCACCTGTTTTTATCCTTTATTTCTAGCATGGTTTCCTATATACAAGCACTTAATATTTGATCATGATGGCAGAGACTCAAATATGTATCTCCAGTATTATACTTTCCCAACCCCCATGCATACACACCAGGCTATTCCTGTTTTCTGGGGGTTGTTTTATTTTTATTTATTTATTTATTTTGAGACAGAATCTCACTCTGTCACCCAGGCTAGAGTGCAGTGGCACCAACTTGACTCGCTGCAACCTTTGCCTCCCAGGTTCAAGCAATTCTGTTGCCTCAGCCTCCCTAGTAGCTGGGATTATAGGCACACACTACCACGCCTGGCTAATTTTTGTATTTTTAGTAGAGATGGGGTTTCACCATGTTGGCCAGGCTGGACTCAAACTCCTGACCTCAGGTGATCCACCTGCCTCGGCCTCCCAAAGTGCTGGAATGACAGGCATGAGCCACCGCTCCTGGCCAGCTATTCTGGTTGTATGCCACCTTCTAAGTGGAAATGTTTGACTGCATGTAGAAGAAATGGGATTGTGTAGCAGGGTCCTGGCAAGTGCCTTAGAATCTGATAGTCTTGAGGTCAAATATCATTCTGCACTTACCAGCAATGTGAAATTAGGCAAGTTTCTTCATTTTTAAACTGGGCTAATACCTACCTCGTAGAGTTCTTGTGAAGAATAAATGGGCTCAAATGAGGTAATATATATACACGTGCTTGGCACGACACTCAGATGGTAGTTGTTTATAGTTTCAATCCTGCCCAGACATGTCCTTAAGTTAACTGTCCATCTTCTCTCTTGGCTCCTCCACTCCCACATCCCCCAGATGTCCTTTCCTCCATCAATAGCATCATCCCTCCCCACCCACACTAGGCTGAAAAGGCTGCAGTCCTTCTGGACCACCCTGATCATCATCCCTCAAATCTAGGCAGTCACCACCTACTGACAGCTTTTCCTTCTAAACAGCACATGGTCTTCCTTTCCCTGACTTCTCTGTTCCCACTATCTTTTTTCCAGGCCTTAAGTCTGGATTACTCCAACAACATTTCTTTCATTCATGCAATCAGTAGATATTTATTGTAATCCTTTTAGGAACCAGGTGCTAGCTACTCCCCCTAACTAGTCTCTCCCGTCTCTCACAACTCATCGTTGCCAGATCTCGTTCAGTCACCACTTTGATCATGTCAGCTCAGCAAACTTTAACCCCCTAACTTCTACTACAGCCAGTCTAAATTATATTGTGTATCTCCCCAAAAACTTGATTCTGTTTTAAATAATTCAGCTTTTATTTTATATTCAGGAGGTACATGCACAGGTTTGTTACGTGGGCATATTGCATGATCCTGAGGTCTGGGGTCCAGCTGAGCCCATCAGTCAGGTAGTCAGCATAGTACCCAATAGTTAGTTTTTCAACCCTCGACCCCTTCCTCCCTCCCTCCCTCCCCATTCCTGCAGTCCCCGGTTTCTATGGTTGCCATCTTTATTTGCCATACTTACCCAACTTTATTACCTGCCATCCCCAACACAAACTATCCTCCGGCCATTCTCCTCTTTCTCCCAGAAAAATAACAAACTCATTGCTGCCTCCAGGCCGTCACATGTACTGTTTCCCTCAACTGAAATGCCTTTCCTCTGCCCTCAGCCAGTTGAAATCCTGCAGCTGCCTCGAGGGCTATATAAGGCCACTTGTGCCACGAAGCCTGTCTTCACCACTTTGGTACTCACTGTTCCTCCCTTCTGATCTTTCGTGTATGTTCATACCACACCTATGTGGAGACGGCTTGTTGATATCCACATAGTTCATCATTTAAAATGATTCTTAGAAAGCTGTAGAACTTGGCCGGGTGCGGTGGCTCAAGCCTGTGATCCCAGCACTTTGGGAGGCCAAGACAGGCAGATCACGAGGTCAGGAGATCGAGACCATCCTGGCTAACACGGTGAAACCCCGTCTCTACCAAAAAAAATACAAAAAACTAGCCGGTTGAGGTGGCGGGCGCCTGTAGTCCCAGCTACTCGAGAGGCTGAGGCAGGAGAATGGCGTAAACCCAGGAGGCGGAGCTTGCAGTGAGCTGAGATCCGGCCACTGCACTCCAGCCTGGGCGACAGAGCGAGACTCCGTCTCAAAAAATAAAAAAATAAAAAAAAAAAGAAAGCTGTAGAACTCTATACTTGCCACTTGCACACATATTGCCTCATTTATTGCTCTCAGCACCTCTGCAACATTGGAAAATTAGAGAATATTTTTTTACAGATGAGAAAACTCAGGTCCAAAGAAGTTAAGAAACTTGGCCAAGGTTATACAATAAGTTAGGAGGAAAGGAGTACTTAAAATTTGCATTTTCTTTCTCCAGGTCCAGTGCTCACTTTGGGACTCCACTGCTGCCAATATTATTTCACATGTATCCCATTAACAATACACATCCAGTGACCAGAAATCCTGGTTTGCCCAGGAATGTGCTGGCTTACTCATGTTGTCCTGGCTTAATTATTAAAAGCACCCGCTTTGACTTTCAGAAGTGTCTTGGTTTGAGTGATAAGTGAGACGGTCACCCGAGCTGTATGGCAAGCCCAGAGTTGGTTTTCAGTAAATGCTTGACTGAATCACTGTCTGGAGATTCTCACACCTGATTTTGATATGATCCCATTTCTTGTGCTTGTGTGTGGGTTGGCAGCTCTATGACCTGATGACCATGGCTTTCAAATATCAAGTATTGCTGTGTCCCCGACCCAAGGATGTGCTGCTGGTCACTTTCAATCATTTAGATACCATCAAGGGATTCATCCAAGACTCTCCAACCATCCTGCAGCAAGTGGACGAGACTTTCCGGCAGCTGACAGAAGTAAGAGCGCCATCAGTGTCTCGCCTCTCAGCCCTAGTACTTTTTCTCATCCCTCTGTTGAGAACAGGTAGATTATATGACAGACAGAACAGGATGAGGAATGGCAAAGCCTGCCACTCTCCCAGAACATTCTGAAAAGCTCTCTGTGTCCATTTTGGTAATATAATAGGGATCATCATCTTATGTCCTCTTACTGATGCCTTCACAATTGGAAAAGCAATCATACAGAGCATAGCCATTTCCTCCTCACTTTTCTGAAAGGGAGTTCGTAGTGGATGTTCTGCTAAATCTTGGGGAACAGCCTCTCCAGCCTCTCCAGGAGAATGGGAGAGAGGAAGCGTACCCTTGCTCAGGTGTGGGGTAATAGGCTTTGTCACCGTGGAGAGGGAGCACTGCTGGTCTCCCCGCTGCCCCTCCTGCCCAGCGGCCCAGTCCTCTCCTTACCTATCTGGCTCCCATCCCTGAGCACCCACCTGCCCTGCCTGTGCGTGCTACTCATCCCTCTTTGAAAGTGAAGAGCTGCTTTCTGCTTGCCTTTGGCAGATATATGGTGGTCTCTCTGCAGGGGAGTTCCAGCTGATCCGGCAGACGCTCCTCATCTTCTTCCAAGACCTGCACATCCGAGTAAGTCAATGGGCAGCCCCGGGAAAACTCAGGAGCTGCTGTACCAGGGAAACAACGCTGATAGTCATCAAGGCAGACAAGGGTGGAGATTTTGCCCAGTTAGTGATGTCCTCAGGGTTTGCCTCTCTAATGATAAAGATGTTGATAATACATCTCAGCAGTTTTTAAATGGACCAAGAAAGGCAGTGAGGCTGCCATTTTCTGATTATCTTGTGAGTTTCTTTGAAATATTGTTTCTTCTGTTAATTCTCCAGAGGAAATATGCTCTCAAGTCACCAGCCTGATCTCAACTGCAAAACCTTTTCTTGAGTTTTATCCTCCTTGACCTCTCCAGCATCTGACACTGTCAGGAGGCTGCCCCATGGAACTCTCACCCTTCCAGGTCTTTTATGGCTCTGTACCATCCTGGGCTTCCCTTCCCTTCCTTCTCCCATCTCAATGCCTTTTACTCCTTCCTCTCCCTCCACCTGTCTCCAAACCTTCCTCCTGTCTCTGGCCACCTCCTGCTAATTAGGCATCTCCTTCCTCACCCTTTGTCTACCAGCTCCTCTGCCTGTGACTCCTGAGTCTAACCTCTGCTCTACCCTGGCCCCACCCCTGCCCTCCAGACTCACATCTCCAGCACCTTGCTGGAGCTTCCCACCAGGATGCCCACCAGTGGCTACAACTTGATGTCTGTAGCTAAACTAATCTCCACAGTTCAGGGGCTGCCCTGACTTTCTCATTTCTTTTGAGGGCACCACCACCATTCTCCCACTCACTTGACTCAGAACCAGAATGTCACCTTTGATTCCCCTTCCCTGATCTTCCTCCAGTTGCTTCTAAGACCCATAGAGTCGGCTGGGCGCAGTGGCTCACGCCTGTAATCCCAGCATATTGGGAGGATGGGGCAGATCACCTGAGGTCAGGAGTTCGAGACCAGCCTGGCCAACATGGTAAAACCCCGTCTCTACTAAAAATACAAAAATGAGCCAGGCATGGTGGCAGGCTCCTGTAGTCCCAGCTACTCAGGAGGCTGAGGCAGGAGAATTACTTGAACCCAGGAGGCGGAGGTTGCAGTGAGCCAGGATCGCACCACTGCACTCCAGCTTGAGCAACAGAGGGAGAATCCGTCTCAAAAAAAAAAAAGACCCATAGAGTTGGCCTTGTCAATATCTACACCCTCTTTTCCTTTTTTTTGAGACAGTGTCTTACTATATTTCCCAGGCTGGTCTCTAACTCTGGGGCTCAAGTTATCCTCCTCCCTCAGTCTCTCAAAGTGCTAGGATTATAGGTATGAGCCACCGTGCCCTGGCACACCTTCCTCTCCATCCCTATTACCACCATCCTGGCTCAGATCGTCATACTCTTGTGGGCTATGCTTCCCAACTGGGCCACTCTCCTCCTGCCATGCCTACATAGCCAGGCAGTTCTACACCCTAACTTTTAAAAACACATTTTCTAGCCAGGCACAGTGGCTCACGCCTGTACTCCTAGCACTTTGGGAGGCCAAGGTAGATGGATCACTTGAGCCCAGGAGTTTGAAACCAGCCTGGGCAACCTGACAAACCCCATCTCTACCAAAAATACAAAATAAACTGGGCATGGTAGTGCGTGTCTGTATTCCCAGATATTTGGGAGGCTGAGGTGGGAGGATCCCTTGAGCCCAGGAGGTCAAGGCTGCACTGAGCCAAGATCATGCTACTAGGCTGGGCGCAGTGGCTCATGCCTGTAATCCCAGCACTTTGGGAGGCCGAGGTGGGTGGATCATGTGGTCAGGAGTTTGAGACCAGCCTGGCCAACACGGTGAAACCCCATCTCTACTAAAAATACAAAAATTAGCCAGGCGTCTGTAATCCCAGCTACTCGGGAGGCTAAGGCAGGAGAATCGCTTGAACCTGGGAGGTAGAGGTTGCAGTGAGCCAAGATCGCGCCACTGCACTCTAACCTGGGCGACACAGCAAGACTCCATCTCAAAAAAAAAAAAAAACATGGTACTGTGCTCCAGCCTGGGCTGAGACCCTGTCTAAAAAGAAAAAAAAGAAGAAATAGAAATAAAATAAAAACACATTTCTGAAGCCTGGGCAACATGGTAAAACCCCGTCTACAAAAACAAAAATTAGCCAGGCATCGTGGTGCACGTCTATAGTCCCAGTTACTCAGGAGGCTGAAATGGGAGGACGGCTGCAGTGAGCTATGGTGGATCCATGATTCAGACCAGGTATCAGAGTGAGACCATGTTTCAAAAAAAAAAAAAAAAAATCTGAGCTTCTGAATTTTGATCTGTCTCTCTTGGACAGGGCTTTGTTTCTTGCCACAATTTAACCAACTGATGTGGGAAAGATGGTATGATGTGGTAAAACAAGCCCAGGCTCTGGAGCCAGACGTGTTTCTCCCTTTTTTTTATTTTCTGAGACAGGTTATCATTTTGTCGCCCAGACTGGAATATGGTGGCACAATCATGGCTCACTGCAGCCTCAACCTCCTGGGCTCAAGTGACCTTCCACCTCAGCCTCTTAGTCCTCTCAGTCCACCCAGTTACTCAGCTGGGACTACAGGAGCGTGCCACCACGCCTGGTTAATTTTTGTATTTTTTGTGGAGACAGAATCTTGCTATGTTGCCCAGGATGGTCCTGAACTCCTGGGCTGTCGTAATCTGCCTGCCTTGGCCTCTCAAATTGCTGGGATTACAAGTGTGAGCTGCTGCACCCAGCTTCACCTTTCTCTTTGAATCTCAACTCCAGAGCTGGGCACAGTGGCGAGTGCCTATAGTCCGAATTACTTGGGATATTGAGGCAGGAAGATCACTTGAGCCCAGGAGTTCAAGACCATCCTGGGCAATATAGTTAGACTCTGTCCTTAAAATAAAATGTTTTGTTTTTGATACAGAGTCTCACTCTGTCTGGAATGCAGTGGCACGATCTCGGCTCACTGCAACCTCCACCTCCCGGGTTCAAGCTATTCTCCTGCCTCAGCCTCCCAGGCAGCTGAGATTACAGGCGCCTGCCACCATGCCCAGCTAATTTTTGTATTTTTAGTAGAGCTGGGATTTCACCATGTTAGCCAGGCTAGTCTCAAACTCCTGACCTCAGGTGATCCGCCCGCCTCAGCCTCCCAAAGTGCTGGGATTACAGGCGTGAGCCACCATGCCCGGCCATAATAATAAAAAAAAAAATGTTTAATTAAGAAAATGAATCCCAACTATAGGACTAGCCCCATGACCTTGGGCAAATAACTTCTCTTAAGTCTTAGTTTCTTCATCTGAAAAATGAAAATTATAATACCTAATTTTGTTGGGAGGATTAACTGAAACAGCATATGTAACATACATGTATTTGTTTGTACATACATAGAGAGAGTGCTTCTGGAAGCATATGCAAGAAACTGGTCACAGTGTTGCCTTCCGGGAGTGGGGGACTATATGGAGGACAGGAGAAGGAGAGAGACTGACTTTCCCTTATGTATACCCTTTTGAGACTTTTGAGTTTTGTACCTGGGCAAAATAAAATTTTAAAAAGGGGGAAGAAATTCATTATATTTGGTGCCTTATTGTATTTCCCTTCCATGGACAAAGGAAGATAAATAGATTTCAATTCTGATGCCAAATTTTTCTTTTTGTTGTTGTTGTTGTTGTTGTTTGGTTTTTTTGTTTTTTGTCTTTTGAGATGGAGTCTCACTTTGTCACCCAGGCTGGAGTGCAGTGGCACCATTTTGGCTCACTGCAACGTTCACCTCCCTGGTTCAAGCAATTCCCCTGCCTCAGCCTCCTGAGTAGCTGGGATTACAGGTGCCTGTCACCACATCTGGCTAATTTTTTTGTATTTTTAGTAGAGACGGGGTTTCACCATGTTGGCCAGACTGGTCTCGAACTCCTGACCTCAGGCAATCCACCCGCCTCAGCCTCCCAAAGTGCTGGGATTACAGGCGTGAGCCACAGCGCCTGGCCTTATTTTTAACTCTCATGAAGAATTGTTATGGATGAAGCAATAATAACATCAATATAAATTAAGATCTCTGTCACTGATTAAAATAAAAAATATGAAAGTACAGATAAGATTAAGTTTTTCATTAAATTTAAAATAACAATTTTGAAATATTAAAAATTTTGTGTCATATTGTTATCAGGGCTGCATATTTGGGTATTGTTTTATGGATTGGTAGTAACATAAACAGCCATATTGATTTCCCAGTTCCCACAAGATAAAATTCATTATAATGAAAAGGCTTTCAGCCGGGCGCAGCGGCTCACGCCTGTAATCACAGCACTTTGGGAGGCGGAGGCGGGCGGATCACAAGGTCAAGAGATCAAGACCATCCTGGCCAACATGGTGAAACCCCGTCTCTACTGAAAATACAAAAACTAGCTGGGCGTGGTGGTGTACGCCTGTAGTCCCAACTACTTGGGAGGCTGAGGCAGGAGAACCTCTTGAACCCAGGAGGCGGAGGTTGCAGTGAGCCGAGATCACACCACTGCACTCCAGCCTGGGCGAAAGAGTGAGACGCCATCTCAAAAAAAAAAAAAAAAAGAGAAAAGCCTTTCCTGGTCAGGTGCAGTGGCTCACACCTGCAATCCAAGCACTTTAGGAAGCCCAGGCAGGCCAACTACTTGAGCCCAGGAGTTTGAGACCATCCTGGGTAACATGGTAAAACCCCGTCTCTACAAAAAATTTGCCGAGCACGGTGGCACACACCTGTAGTCTCAGCTACTCAGGAGGCTGAGGTGGGAGGATCACCTGAACCTGGGACATCGAGGTTGCAGTGAGCTGTGATTGCACCACTGCATTCCATCCTGGGGAACACAGCAAGACTCCATCTCAAAAAAAAAAAAAGGCTTTTCTAATAATAACTCTGTATTAGAATTATTAAAATTTATTTATTTGTTTATTGAGATGGAGTCTTGCTCTGTTGCCCAGGCTGGAGTGCAGTGGCATGATCTCGGCTCACTGCAGCCTCCACCTCCTGGGTTCAAGCAATTCTCCTGCCTCAGCCTCCTGAGTAGCTGCGATTACAGGCACACACCACAATGCCCAGCTAATTTTTTGTATTTTTAGTAGAGACAGGGTTTCACCATGTTGGCCAGGCTGGTCTTGAACTCCTGACCTGAAGTGATCCACCTGCCTCGGCCTCCCAAAGTGCTGGGATTACAGGCGTGAGCTACCACACCCAGCCTAAGATGCTTATTCTTGATTATATCACTAATATAAACTTTAGAATATTAGAGTTGAAGAGATCTTCAAGCTCATCTCTTATTTTACAGATAGGGAAGCCAAGACCCAGTAAAACTGATTAACTGCTACAATCTTTATGAGATTTAATCTGTGAGTGACCGAAACCTCTATACAGAGTACACAAACCCAGGAGAAGGAATAAGTGTAACGTGTTTTCAGTCACATAAAAGACCCTCAAACTTAAATGCCAGCTGGATCCCCCTGCCCCAGCCCCATCCTTCTTTCTAGTCCAGCATGTGGATAAGGCTCGGGCTCCAAAGTCAGAATCACAGGAGTTTGAATCCTCAGCTCTGCCCCTTACCAGCTGGCTGACCTTGAGGAGGCGTCTTAACCTCTGAGCTGCCTCATCTAGAAAGTGGCCATATGAGGTTCTTACAGCTCAAGGCCTGCAGCTGCATGGAAAGTAAGCAGGGAACCAAGGAATAGGGGTGGAATTTGGAGTCACCCTTGGTTTTGAATCCTGGCCCTGCCTCTTACTGCTCTCTTTGGGCAAGTCACTTCACTCTCTACTTTAGCTTTCTCGTCTATAAAATGGGAGTAATATGACTCACCTGGAAGGTTTGCTGCGCTGCTCAAAAGTAGTTCTGTTTGTAGCTGAGCATGGTGGCTCATGCCTGTAATCCCAGCACTATGGGAGGCCAAGGCAGGCAGATCACTTGAGCTCAGGAGTTTGAGCCTGGCCAACATGGCGAAACCCCATCTCTACAAAAAAATATAAAAATTAGCCAGGCAGGCCGGGCGCAGTGGCTCACGCCTGTAATCCTAGCACTTTGGGAGGCCAAGGTGGGCGGATCACGAGGTCAGGAGATCGAGACCATCCTGGCTAACATGGTGAAACCCCGTCTCCACTAAAAATACAAAAAAATTAGCCAGGCGTGGTGGTGGGCGCCTGTAGTCCCAGCTACTCTGGAGGCTGAGGCAGGAGAATGGCATGAACCTGGGAGGCAGAGCTTGCAGTGAGCCGAGGTCACACCACCGCACTCCAGCCTGGGTGAGACTCTATCTCAAAAAAAAAAAGAAGAAAAAATTCGCTGGGCACCGTGGCTCACACCTATGGTCCCAGCTACTTGGGGGGCTAAGACAGGAGGATCACGTGAGCTGGGGGGCTGAGGTGGCAGGGAGGCAAGATCGTACCACTGCAGTCCGGCCTGGGTGACAAAGTAGTCCCTGTCTCAAAAAAAAAATAGTTCTGTTTGTTAAAATACAATTAACTCTGCAAGTGTAATTTTTTTTCTCCCCCTCTTTTTTTTTTTTTTTGAGATGGAGTCTCACTTTGTTGGCCAGGCTGGAGTGCAATGGCACAATCTTGGCTCACTGCAACCTCCACTTTCCAGGTTCAAGTGGTTCCCCTGCCTCAGCCTCCGAAGTAGCTGGGACTACAGGCAGGCACCCGCCACCACACCCAGCTAATTTTTTGTATTTTTAGTAGAGACGGGGTTTCACCGTGTTAGCCAGGATGGTCTCAATCTCCCAACCTCATGATCCGCCTGCCTCAGCCTCTCAAAGTGCTGGGATTACAGGAGTGAGCCACCGCACCCAGCCTCTCCCTTCGTATTGTTATAAACTCATAGGTAATGTCCCCAAACCATTACACACTTTTCACCCTCAGAATATTGATGTCTATGAAAATATACCAAGAAAAATGACAATAAATGTATTTTTTTCCAGGTATCCATGTTTCTAAAGGACAAAGTTCAGAATAATAATGGTCGCTTCGTGTTGCCGGTGTCCGGGCCTGTTCCCTGGGGAACTGAAGTTCCTGGACTCATCAGGTGAATTCCCAACAATGGTCAGAACTATGTTTGGGGTGCTAGGAAATGCACATGGGCCGCAGACAGAACGCCGCACTGCTGAGCCGCTCGTGGTCTGCCCAGCCCTTCTCTCTCTTTTTGTTTGAGACAGAGTTTCGCTGTTGTTGCCCAGGCTGGAGTGCAATGGCGCCATCTCAGCTCACTGCAACCTCCGCCTCCTGGGTTCAAGTGATACTCCTGCCTCAGCCTCCCGAGTAGCTGCTGGGATTATAGACATGCGCCAGCACGCCTGGCTAATTTTGTATTTTTAGTAGAAATGGGGTTTCTGCACATTGGTCAGTCTGGTCTCGAACTCCTGACCTCGGTTGATCCACCCGCCTCAGCCTCCCAAAATTACAGGTGTGAGCCACCACGCCCGGCCTCCAGCCCTTCTCTTTCTTTAGTAAAATAGCTATTGAAAAAGTCAGGTTCTAATCCCTGCCTTGTCGCTTAGCAGAGGGACTTGAGGCAAGTTACCCAGTTCCCCAAGACTGATTTCCTCATCTGTTAAATGGTTACTGTGTGGATGAATAAGATAACAGTGATCTAACGTGCTTACAAAGCAATTGGCGTATACATATGCTCAATAAATATTATTATTGTATTATTATCATTATTATTATTACAACCAGCACCTTTATCTTGAAGGAGAGTATGTATTCCTTTTTGTTCTGTAGTACAAAGAATAAAGAAGCCTCCAGGACTACCTAAGCTTGGAGAGCATTCCATCATGTCATACTTTGTATTGTAGAATGTTCAACAACAAAGGTGAAGAAGTGAAGAGGATAGAATTCAAGCATGGTGGAAACTATGTCCCTGCACCCAAAGAAGGTTCTTTTGAACTTTATGGAGACCGAGTCCTGAAACTGGGAACTAACATGTAAGCAAATTCTTCTCTGAGTGAATTCAAGTCCAAGGGAGGTCACTTCATTAAAAAAAGCAGCTGAATTCTGTTATGAAAATCCCTGCCGACAATAGGAGTAATTTCCCCTTAGGTACACTGCATACAGAGGCCTGACATTTCAAAGGGCACCCAAGAACGCCAAACATAAGGCAACTCAGCAGAATGAAAAGATACATGATGTTCCATAGCCATGGAAGAGAACTAGCCAAAATCTGTGTTGCAGTGGAAATCCAGAAAGACTTATCCTTTCTGTAAAGCTGCATGTCTTTTCAGTGAGGCATGTTACTCTTCACAAGAGCAGGCATTGCCACCCAGTCTCCCCAGGTGTTTTTCTTTGGGAAGAAGTGAAATGTGAGGGGTTAACGCTCACTCAGTTGCATTCTGTACCCACAGCACCTTTCTGGATGCTATTTAATGTCTCAGAATAAAAGCTACAAACTATGCTTACAAGTTAGAGGGAGGTCCGTGGAAAGGGGCTGGATAATGTCACCATTTTCTGTTGACACACCAGGTACAGCGTGAATCGGCCTGTGGAAACCCATATGTCTGGATCATCAAAGAACTTAGCCTCACGGACCCAGGTGAGCTTCTGCCTTCCTTGCCTACCCTCACAGCTTCTCTCTAGATACAGAAGTCTACATAAAGAGAGGTGGGATCGCTTTAGATTTTGGATCTAGCCAACATTTCCCTTGTTTTCAATCTTCTCCCTTCCACCTTATGAGTACACAGGTTTTAATTGTAGCTTTTCATGGAGACTTCCAGTGATCTCACTAATTAGGTAATTTTAGGCTTGGCTCAGCCACCATAATTAAGAGGAACCACCCACCAGGACATATGCAATAGCAGAGTACCAGTGCCATTAGGTCCATGATTGCTGACGTCAGCACTCGTGTGTATTCTGATCATTAAAACATTTCTTTTTAACGTTTCCCCCTACAGCACCACAGTAGCTAAGTCAGAGTCGGGGGTTTTAGTTTCTCTGAATTCCATCCTTACAAGTTTTCACTGAACTAGCTCCCACCTAGCTGTAGGAGAGATCACAGAACATTAAATTATTCAGCAAACATTTATTAAACTGCTTCTATGGGCTGGGGACCCAGGGACACGAAGCTGACGTAGATGTGGTCCCATCCTGAAGGGGCCTCTGGTACCCTGGGAAAGACAGCGAAACAAACAACTAAAATGAGGTGGAGGAAGGGCTGGCTGGGGATCCTGAACAAAGTGCTGTAACAGAGGAACTCACGTCTGTCCAGTGGACAGGGATCACAGGGATCAAGAAGGCGTTTCAGAGGCAGGGATATTGAAGTGGGGCTGTAGAGTAGGTAAACTATGAAACAGCAGAGAGGGAGAAATGAGCACACAGACCAAGGTGACAGAGGAGCAAGAGTGTTCCCGGGAGGAGGATGGCAGCGTCTCCCATGAGGCTTACGTAATGGATCACAGCATCATGGAGGCTTGCTGGCAGAGACTCACCTGGACAGGGACACTGAGGCCTGACCAGGAAGGGGCGTAAACTATTTGGGCTTTGTTCTTTCTAAAGGAAGCAGAGGGGTTTGTTTCAAGCCAGGGAGAAATGAGACGAAAACTGCATTTAGTTAACTAGTGGCGGAGTGAGGGGAGAGGCAGAACAGGGGAGGCCAGGCTAGAAGGAAGAGGGGTGCAGGATGAGGCAGGGTGAGAACTGAGAGAGGAGGGAATGGACTTGCGGGTGTGTTCCCGGCCATCACCACCTGAGGGCAGTGTGGCAGCGCCTCTGGAAGGAGACTGGACTGAGGCGACTTGTAAATACTGAGGAAACCGGATTGACAGAAAAGGAAGCCATACACTTCTTCAAGGAGGAAGGTAGTGAGAGGAGAAATGTGGATCCCTGGGGCTTCCACTTATGCGGACAGTATGAAAATCTCTGGTTTGCAAAGTTGCTACATTCCCTCTGCTTCTGATGTGATTGTTTTTCTTTTGGTTAAGCCTGCTTTCTACACTTTATCTGGACCTAGAAATAATTTAAATAGCAATTGTTTCACCTTATTTTATAATACCTACCTGTGTCTCTGAGGTTTTAGCAGGAAATGTGATTGCCTTCCTGTGGCTAAAAATCATGCAATTGTTTCTGCAGGAAAGCATTGCTCCAAACCCTCTTGCTAAAGAAGAGCTGAATTTCTTGGCCAGGCTGATGGGAGGGATGGAGATTAAGAAACCCAGTGGCCCTGAGCCTGGATTCCGGTTGAATCTCTTTACCACCGATGAAGAAGAGGAGTATGTTTTAAACCTGTTTCGTTAAAGACATATAAATATCCCAAATGTAACAAGAACCCAAATGACCATTACAAACCGGTGGCACTTATAAATATTTGTGTAAATATCATAAACAAAATACCAACAAAGTTAATAATCTAGTTAAATAGCCCACCAGGATGAAATGGCCTGAACCTTCCGGAGTCATTCAAAAAAAGAGATACAGCCGGGCACCGTAGCTCACACCTGTAATCCCAGCACTTTGGGAGGCCAAGGCAGACAGATCACGAGGTCAGGAGGTCGAGACCATCCTGGCTAACATGGTGAAACCCCGTCTCTACTAAAAAAAAAAAAAATACAAAAAATTAGCTGGGTATGGTGGCACGTGCCTGTAATCCCAGCTACTCGGGAGGCTGAGGCAGGTGAGCCAAGACTGCGCCATTGCACTCCAGTCTGGGAGACACAGCAAGACTCCATGTCAAAAAAAAAAAACAACAACCCAGAGATGGTGTGATGGTGCGCACCTGTAGTCCCAGCCACCCAGGAAGTTGAGGCGGAAGGATCACTTGAGCCCAGGAGTTTAAGGTTAAGCAAGCTGTGATCGTGCCACTGCATTCAGTCTAGGAGAGAGAGCAACACCCTGTCTCTAAAAAATAATAATCAAGAAAACAAAAAAAGAGTTATAATGTTTTACTTATCAGAGCACAGCTGAATAAGCAGTGTTAGAAGCCAGGATGACCAGATTAAGACAGTGTGTTAAGAAACCAGAGTGAAGTTGGAGCTTGATTTCCCTGTGTTAGACAGTATCACCCAAAACCAATAACAATAGTAAATCACCCACGGTGATTTATAGTGCTTTACAGTTTACAGAGCACTTTTTCAAGCATTATCTCATGTGATCCTCCTCAAAACCAAGTATTTGGCGTGAGTGTCACCTTCTATTTCCCATTCATTGAACTACTGATAACTTCTTTTGTTTACCTCTGTGTGACAAGTACTATGTAAAGTCCTGGGGATGCAAAGATGGAGTGTAAGACCTAGAGCCTGTCCTCAGGAAGCTCTCAGCTTAGTGGGAGAGCAAACATGTACATATATAAGTTATTTCAGTGCCGTGTCATCAATGCTCTAATCGAGGACAGTGACTGACTTTGCACTGGCAGATTGAAGGAGTTGGCATTTGATCTAGGTCTTGGAGTTTGCCAAGCAGAGGAAGGGAGGAAACATCCTTGGCAGGGTTTATAATGAGCAAAGTCACAGAGACATAAAAGAACTTGACTTTCTAGATCATAGGGTACATTGGTGGGAGATGGGGTAGAAAGTTCAAGAGAAATGGCAGAAGATGAGGCAGAAAAAATAGGCTGCCAACTTATCAAGAGTCAGTTTGCCATGCTGGCAGGGAGAGAACCCTAACCTTGTACCCCTTTTCTTTACTATCTCATCCAGACAAGCAGCGCTAACCAGGCCAGAAGAGCTTTCCTATGAAGTTATCAACATACAAGCCACCCAGGTACGTACAGGGGATTATACAGGGTCCAATCTTATTCCCTTCCTCATCTTTTTTTTTTTTTTTTTTGAGACAGGGTCTCGCTCTGTCATCCAGGTGAAGTGCAGTGGCTCAATCTCAGCTCACCGCAACCTCCAACTCCCAGGTTTAAACAATTCTCACACTTCAACCTGCCAAGTAGTTGGGATTACAGGTGCCGCCACTATGCCCAGCTAGATTTTTTTTTTTTTTGTATTTGTATTTGTTTTTTTTTTTTTTTTTTTTTTTTTTGAGACGGAGTCTTGCTCTGTCGCCCAGGCTAGGGTGCAGTGGCCGGATCTCAGCTCACTGCAAGCTCCGCCTCCCGGGTTCCCGCCATTCTCCTGCCTCAGCCTCCCGAGTAGCTGGGACTACAGGCGCCCGCCACCTCGCCCGGCTAGTTTTTTGTATTTTTTAGTAGAGATGGGGTTTCACCGTGTTAGCCAGGATGGTCTCGATCTCCTGACCTCGTGATCCACCCGTCTCAGCCTCCCAAAGTGCTGGGATTACAGGCTTGAGCCACCGCACCCGGCCTTTTTTTTTGTATTTTTAGTAGAGCTGGGGTTTCACCAAGTTGGCCAGGCTGTCTTGAACTCCTGACCTCAAGTGATCCACCCACCTCGGCCTCCCAAAGTGCTGGGATTACAGAGGTGAGCCACCGCGCCCGGCCTCCCTCCCTCCTTTCCTCATCTTTTGTAATGTTGAACTTCAGAGACCCTCTTTTTCAAGCAAGACTCAGACTACAATATAGCTGTTAAGTGCTGTGTTGTCATTCCCCCTGCTCAAATGAAAGTTGTTTCTTCACTATACCCATCTGCCATTCTGGAGCAGCCAGGGATGCTTGGTTACATACACGTTGATTAAGAAGAAAAAAAAAGACCCCCTTCTTCTCTCTGATCAGCCTGTAACTACAGTCCCTTTTCTGACAAACAGGTGCACAACTGAAACATAGCAGTGGTGGGACAACAAACTAACAGCCTACTGCACAAAGAGGCGGCCTCTGCCAGCACAGCCTCTTCATGCCCTTTTACCTCTCATTTCCCTCATAGGACCAGCAACGGAGCGAGGAGCTGGCTCGAATCATGGGGGAGTTTGAGATGATGGAGCAGCCAAGGCTGAGCACCAGCAAGGGGGACGATTTGCTCGCCATGATGGATGAGTTATAGCTGTTCTGACCAGGCGTCCTCTGCCCCCAGGGAGAGGCTGCTGGATGGTGATCCCTGGGGAATGCCCCATGGCCCAAAATGATGCTGCTAGTTTTCTACTGAGTGAAGCCATTACGTCTAGTTCTTGTTTATGTTGTAAGGAACTGTGTGAGCCTCCCTCGGGGAGCACTCACTCTTGAAGGCACACACATACACATATTCTCAGTGAAATATATTCTGACTTTTAAACGTGACCTTTCCCATTTTATTCTTAATTCTGTGGCAACCACCGAAAGCCTACTGAGCCATAGGTTTGGGCCCCAAAGTGGGTAAGGGGTCACCCCTGCTGTCATTTTCAGGATTACTATTTTAGCTTTCCTGTGGGGATCTACAAAGGCATGTAAACATTAACAAAATAGTCAGTTTTCTGGGATACATTCTGCCTGTAGGCAAGTTTGAAATCAAAGATTGTTCCAGGCAGTTGCCATAAACAGTGAGGGCTCAGTGTAGAAGACCCTCTTCACCCTGGCGCACTAGGAACTGTAACCTCAGAGGCAGGGTAAGCAAGGCCACGGCGGGGAACACTCAGCTGGCCCCAGGCAGGACATGCCAGCGTCTGTACTTCCCCGCACGTCCATCTATCCATGCGGTGTCAGTTTATCCCATACTGAGATGTATACCAAGAGAATATTTTCTTCTTTTCAGCATGACACGTACTCCTTACCCCCAGGGTCTTCCTCTACCCCTGAGTGTGCTCGTCTTCTAAAGATGCCCAGCAGGATGTGCTGTGACATCTGTCTCCTCTGAGTCACCGTGAGTCACCAAGCAGTACCCTAGGTTGGGTGCATGGGAGGCACATGTGATATGCGCCTTTCCCTTCTGCTTTCCCGCTGAGCCGCTTCCCTGGGGAGGAGTGGACTTTGCAGGATGCAGCAGGAGGCCAGGTCTCACTGGAATCCATGTAAAATGTCTCCAGCCAGGGCTGCCGTTATTGCTTCAGAAAGGCGTGGCAGCCCTCTGCCATAGGCTCCCTCCCGGGCCTGAGTAACTGACATGTTCAGACCCATTAAATCCTATGGAAGGAATATCCAGAATGCCAAAAGGCTGGAGAGAAACTAAGTTGAGCTGGTCATTGCCTTAGATTGGGCCAACTACAGGAACCTCTCCATCCCCACACCTGGGATGGATCAAGGTGAACATCATTCTAGAATGTAATGGAATCACCATTTTCAAGCAATTCTCTTGGTGATTAATTCCATGGAATGGAAGCTGCCCTTTGGCTTTTCCAAAGGCAAAGGTTTTGGATACAGAATGTAAATCAGTGAAGGCCGGGCATGGTGGCTCATGCCTGTAATCCTAGCACTTTGGGAGGCTGAGGTGGGCAGATCACTTGAGGTCAGGAGTTCAAGAACAGCCTGACCAACATGGAGAAACCCGTTTCTATTAAAAATATAAAATTAGCCAGGCCTAGTAGTGCATGCCTGCAATCCCAGCTACTCAGGAGGCTGAGGCAGGAGAATCGCTTGAACCTGGGAGGCAGAGGTTGCAGTGAGCCAAGATCGTGCCATTGCACTCCAGCCTGGGCAACAAGAGCGAAACTCCATCTCAATAAAAAAATCACCAATTAAATGTTAATTGCTCCCTACCCATTAAAGTTACACTTCCTTACCTATAAAGACACCCTCCCCCTCCACATACTCATGAAAAGTCTGTTGGGGAGGAGAAGCATATTGTGCTATAAAACACCTCTTGCATCAGATGTACAAAGTGCCTTTGGTTTTAGTCTCTTTTAAGCAATCTGGTCACCATTCAGGGGGGCCTGACTGGGTGACAGATGAATGGGAAAGTTCTGACCTGTTTTGAGTCTGGCTCCCACCTAGCTGTCACATATCAGAATGTCACCGCTCTGAGTGTGTCCTGGAGCCTTGGAGGTGGGCCGTGAGATGCCAAGAAGCAGCCGCAGCCTCCTCCCTCCACCTATCCCAGAGCGATGCTGGCGATTTCAAACGTATCTGTCCTATCAGTAAATAAACAAGATACAGATCTCTGGTATGACAACTCCACGATGAGGCAATCTGTGAGTTTCATGTCTCTAGACTTGCACAGATATTAAGAAAAGCAAGTTTATTTGCATGGTGGTTCAGGACTACGAGAGAAAGCATGGGAGTGGGTAGGAGGCAAAGTAGATAAAAAGTAGGAGGTCGAGGCTGCAGTGAGCCATGATTGTGCCACTGTACCCTAGCCTGAGTGACAGAGTGAGACCCCATCTCAATAAAAATAAAAAAATAAAAATTCTAAAAAGATTTTATTTTCTGCCTAAAATATGGACAAAGTACTAAAAACGCATGTATTCATTTAAAACCATGGCAAAGGGGCATAAGCATGTAATTCACCAAGACCCAGTGAACTTAAGGGGAAGGCATATGGTCAGAATCACGACACTGCACTCTGGCCCCATCCCTGCCCCCAATTCACCATGTCATCTTGGACCACTAACCCTCACCAAGGGTCCCTCATCTATTAAAAAAGAAAAAGAACTCAAACTCAGCTTGCCCAGATAAGTTCCCGAGTTTATAGCTTCCTGGGCCCTGCCCCAGGCGGGACCTGAGAATGGGAGTCTTACCCAGGCTGCCCTCCACCCGCTGCTTTGGGGTATGTCTGCTCTCTTTCAGCTCTTCTGTGACTGTAGCCTCTTCTCAACTAAGTTTCAAACCATCCCACTCTTGTTCTTAGGGTGTTAGAATGCCCTGTTGATTAAGTAAAGCAATGCTGTAGAAAAGCCAAAAACCAAAGGACGTTAATGGCTCCCAGAAGAAAGAAGTAATAAAAATTCAGAGCGAAGGAGGAAGAAAAAAGGAGGAAAATGTATTTATCTCTGAATTCTACAAAGAAAGTCATCGCATTGTTCCTGAAACACCAGGCGTTTGGTCTAGGTCCTGCTGCTCACCGCGCAGAAAGCCAATCCCTGAGATAAGTATTGCCAAGGAAGAAGGCTTTCATCAGGTGCTGCAGAGAAGATGGGAGCTCAGTCTCAAATCCATCTCCCTGATTGACTAAAACTAGGGGTTTACATAGCAGGGAAGAAATGTTACAATGTGTAAGAAAATAAGAACTAGGGAGGGGCAAGGGGGCATCTGGTGCCCCCATCTGATGAGTTTCAGTTCTCTGATCCCATTTTTTAGAGGCCTGAAGGTCCTTTCCTGAGAAAAGAACTTAGATAAAACAAATACAAATTTCAAGCTTTAACAGCAGAAGGATCAATGTCTATGTTTATCCAAAAGAACAGTCTATGGGCCCATTTCACCATAGTCCCCATAAGTATCTAACAATTTTTATTTTATTTATTTTTGAAATGGGGTCTCATTCTGTCACCCAGGCTGGAGTATAGTGGCACAATCACAGCTCACTGCAGCCTCGACCTCCTCAAGCGATCCTCCCACTTCAGCCTCCTGAGTAGCTGGGACTACAGGCATGTACCATCACACCTGGTCTCACTATGTTGCCCAGGCTGATCTCAAACTCCTGGTCTCAAGCGATTCTCCTGCTCAGCCTCCCAAAGTGCTGGGATTACAGGCGTGAGCCACCACGCCCAGTCTTCTAACATTTTTTTTTTTTTTTTTTTTTTTTTAGACAGAGTCTTGCTTTGTCGCCCAGGATGGAGTGCAGTGGCAAAATCTCGGCTCACTGCAACCTCCACCTCCCAGGTTTAAGCAATTCTCTTGCTTTAGCCTCCCAAGTAGCTGACATTACAGGCATGCACCACCATGCCTGGCTAATTTTTGTATTTTCTTAGTAGATATGGGGTTTTGTCATATTGGTCAGGCTGGTCTCGAACTCCTGACCTCAGATGGTCCACCCGCCTCGGCCTCCCAAAGTGCTAGGATTACAGATGTGAGCAACTGCACCCAGCCCTTCTAAGAATTTTTAAAGGTAAAACTCACTTCTTCCCTCAGCTATCCCAATAGGAGAGAAATAGACTTCAGCATGATAGCCAGATGCCCAGATCTAAACTGGATCAGATTCCCTCATCCACATCCATCTAGTCTATAACCGCCTGGTTTGTCACTCTGGATTACATTCAGTATAGAACCACGCTGTCCATTTTGGAACCATCTCAAGCCACAGGAAACCATAGAAAGACAAATACAAATTCTAGAAAATATATATTTAGCATAATACCTAATCTTAAAGACCCAAATTAAAATCAGAAAAGTAATACCACCTTTACCTACCTCTTATTCTCTCCAAATTGTGCCCTGGATAACTCCTTTTCAGCTGCTAAATTCCTGGACAGCTGACAGTAGAGGGAATTACAGGACAGGCTTGGGATAAGGAAACCTCCACATTGAATCTTCCCTGCATAGCTTCCTGATTTGGTGTGAAGTAAATTCTCAGATCATAACTTACCCCTTTGCAAGTGAGAATGTCAAGAGTCATTCCAAGGGCCAATGGAAATTATTTTTGATTATTTGATTACCTTAACACTTCCACCACCACCACCTCCATACACGTGTACATTCTAGATTCTTTTTGTTTCTAGCCAGTGGTGCCTCTGCTGACAAAAATAACATTACCTTTTCTCTTAGTTCCTAAGACGGCATGAAAACTCAACTGCATGGCCGGGCGTGGTGGCTCACACCTGTAATCCCAGCACTTTGGGAGGCCAAGGCAGGTGGATCACCTGAGGTCAGGAATTCGAGACCAGCCTGGCCAACATGGTGAAACCCTGTCTCTACTAAAAATACAAAAATCAGCCAGGTGTGATGGCACATGCCTATAATCCTAGCTACTTTGGGGGGGCGGAGGCTTAGGCAGGAGAATCATTTGAACCCAGGAGGCAGAGTTTGCAGTGAGCCGAGATGGTGCCACTGCACTCCAGCCTGGGGGACAGAGCGAGACTCTGTCTCAAAAAAAAAAAAAAACTCAGTTGTATTAGGCCCAATGGAGCCACACACCACCAGCAGTGCCAGCAGTGCAAGGGGCAGGCCCCAGGGCCTAGATGTGCACAATCACCTCAGATCACTGTGCCCTTCATTCTCTTTATAGAGCTCCCTCACTCCCTTTTGAAACAGGAGGCCAGCAGGTTTCCCAGCGGGGGGCCCCGTGTCAGCAAAGGACATTTGACCCATTTTCTGGATATCCTCAAGACTCCTCAGCTTAGGTTACAACTGACAAGAAGCTAATATTTGTTTTATATTGATTAATATTTAATGTGTCCCTCATATCTCCCCCCTACCTCAAATATATTCTGCTT